TACAAGGGCCTCACAAACCTGAAGCCAACATGTGGGGGGGGGTTCAGGTCAAGGAAGGTTAGTTTAATAATATGTAAGAACAGGAGGACTGGTGTAATCTCTGTGTATGAGAAACTGATACAAATGTGCTCGCTGGGGTTGGGGTGGGGAGGGGTAACTGTCTGCCTTAGTCTGGCTGGGGTTTTTGAGGCTTGGCCGTTTTGAAAGGAAGGAGTCCATTACATTTGCATTGGTGGCTAAAGTCAGCCCAGCTGGAAAGCAGGTGCATGGCTGTGCTGCTGAGATGAGGCTGGTGCAGTGGCTACTGAAAAAAGCCATGGAGGAGCAGCCGTGGCTCCAGCTCTGCTACTGCACCAGCACAGTCCTACCCTCTGCTACAGAGCTGAAACGATTTGTCACCGTGGACTCTGCTTCTGTCACAGGAGACTCGTATTGAGGCTGTCACGTGCCCTTAGGTTTGAGGTAAGGCATTGATGACACGGAGATAACGTTTCCATACATTTCTGGAGGGATCCACTGCTGGAAGTGAGTGGCCCACAGGAGAGGGAAACACTGTCACCTGCCTTGGCAGGATGTGCCAAGTTTGGTACAGGAAGGCAGTGCTGGGACTGTGAGCAGCCAGAGATGGCTGTGCAGGGCTCCCAGGCGGCAGAGCTCCAAGATTTACTGCCATGTGCTGCTGCACTGGGGGAGCCCTGCAGCTGCAGGCCAGCAGTGCTGAAGCTGGCTGGTTTGGGCACAAAGGCTCCCAGCACCTGGTACAAGGTACAGTCCCATGGCACACGGCCGGCCAGCGCCCCACACGCTAACCAAGCCTTGGCCGAAGCAAGGCCGGCTGTTAACGTGGAAAAAAGCAAACACCAAAACATGTTGCCTGCTGGTCTGCCCCCTCCCTGCTGTGTGATTGCACAAGTTGTACCTCTTGCATAGCAGAGAGGACAGCCACCAAACAACCCATACTGTGATGGCTTTGTTGTGTTTTTTTTTTTTTTAATTCAAGTCTTACTCTTGCTATTAAGTTTACACTTTATACTTGATGGAATGTATGGCTTTGTTCAGGAAACTGCACTACAATGTTGCAGTACTTTCAGCAGTTCTCTGCCTGGCACAATGTATTTTGATAGTTCAATTTTAATTGGAAAAAAAACCCAACCCAACCCTAACCTATCTTGCCCTCTGTCTTAAAGGAGTGGATCATGGCTTGACTAGCACTTAAGCTTGGAATACCTGTATGTAAGGGCTTGATTTTTATTATTCTTAATCTAACACTTTAAAACAGCATCAAATAAATAAAAAAGCACAGTAACTAATATTGAAGGAGAGGCACGAGCGGATTACTCTTTCCAGTGTGAGAGTTCTGTTCCACTTCAGGTGTTTGCTGGCAGTGCATTCAAATGAACTGTGATAGTTTTGTTCAACAGTAACCTTCTGTACAGGCAGAAAAAACAAATCCAACATTTCTGCTTGAAAAGCTGTAAAATATAATCTGTTTGCGTGGGTCTGATCCTGTGAGCTTCACTATATGTGTTTATATTGATGAGGAAATGAAAATCAGTCCTATTCTGTATTTGTACTACTGCTTGTTTGCTACAATAGCTTTAATGATTTCTAGAGATTAAGTATGTGTTGAAGCAGGCCCTGTAGCTTTACCTACAGCCTGGAATAGGATTATTGCCTTTTATTCAAGCCTCCTAAACAGTGTCACTCTGTTAGTAAACCATTTTTAAGTCATGCTGGGACTTTGTAACCCATCAAGTGGATCTCACAAAGTGATGTGAAGTATAATTAAGTGATTGTGGCTCTTTTGGTAGGTTTGGGTCAGCACACAAAACATTGGCACACCTTCCGTATCTGCCATTTGCCGTTACTGTTACACGGACAAAAAGAAACCTCTGTATTATGGCAACCCAACAGTTCTAATCACGTTCTCAGAAATGAAAGCAAACTTCTCTTCAACTTACTGTCACATGTTTACAGGCAAACTGCTATGGCAAACAGTGTATTTTCTAACACTAGCTTACAGAGCATTATTTTGCAGTCATCTAGTTTGAAGGCAAATCTTACTAATGTGTAAAGTAATTCCTGTTGTACAGAAGTTAACCTGTTGTTTAAAATTAATGGTTAAAAAAAAGTGCAAATGACAAATACATGTTGGTGTTTGTATGGGTTTATCTAGAATAAAAGCATTTGGAGGTTAATTTGATTGTGTACTTTCAAAAGGTTAAAAGAAAGCAAGAACAGCTGGTAACAATCCAATCCAAGGTCATGCAAAGAACAGAGTGGCATCAGATGAGGAATACCTGCTGCAGCTCCAGCCCTGCGAGGCTGCAGGGCAGAACCATGCAGGTCAGCACAGCACAGTTCCATCGTGCTGAAGATGGGAAGTACAAGAAAAGGATGCTGGGGAGGGGATTGTCTAAAACCCAGTGGCTCCTGAGCAGTGACCTGCAGGGCCTGGGTGGAGGGGGATTCCCAGCTGCCTTCCCACCTGTAGGAAGCAGCAGCAGGCCAGGGACAGGCTAGATATGCAGTGCCTGCCACACCTCCACACAGCCTTCAGGAGCTGCACTACAACTACACCACTTAAAGGCTCTGAGGCTGATGATAATTTTAAAAAGCTAAAAATGTTAAAAAGGAGGATAACCCAATAACCCTTCTTTCAGGAGAAGGTGCTGCAGGGGCAGGAAATTGTCTCTCACTCAAAAAGCCTTAAACCAGCTGGCAAAGGGAGCCCACAAACCTGCTGGTGACGATCATTCTTCCTCCTTCTCTTACACTTCTTCCACCCGCCACATCTTCCCTAGTTTGTATAAACCACCCTCCTTGCCCCCCAACATTAGAGTGCACCTTGTTGAAGCCCACACAGCCAGAGGCAGGGACAGAGACACAAGGCTGCTGAGAGCTTGCTCTTTGCAACTGTTCCATGCTGGTAGGTGCTGGTGACCATCCCGTTTGGCAAAGGTGGCTCAGGCACAGAGAGGTACTTCACACAAATTAATCCTGCAGGAGACAGCAGTAGCTTCTGTTTTCCACAGAGAAGTTTAACAAACTTCCCAAGAAAGGAAAGGACATGGCATTCCCCAATTTAGTGTTCCCACTGAAACACTCCAAACCTTGTGCTGCTCACTCACACGCCCACCCTACCTCCTCCTCCACCGCAGGAGGACAGAGAGGAGAATTAGAGGCACAAAAGGTAAAGATCATGAGTCAAGATAAGAACAATTTACTGGAAACAGCAAGGAGACAAGAAAAGGAACAGCAACAGCAACAACTTTAATCAGTGTACAAAGGAGGCAAATGATTCCCACGTGATTGCTTGCCACATGGAGCCTGGCAAATACCCGACCATGCCGCCACCCTGTGCGACCCGGAAGGGACACCTTCCCCTGTCCCAGAAAAGGCCGTGAGGTAGTACAGAACAACCTCCACGTCCTAACCATGGCCCCTCCTGGCTACTGCAAAAATTAACCCTGTCCTGACCAGAACTGGGACAAATCATACTTCTGCACTGTATGGAAAATCAAAAATGCAGCCTCTGAGAGGGAAATTGAATCAATGCCAACATCACCATATGCAACGTAGTTATTCTGCTGACTGTTCCTATAGTCTAACAGCAATACCCTAGTATAAGAAATTGCAGTGTATTCTCACTGTCCCAGACTTCTGCTGCAGTACTTTGGGAAAAAAAAAAGAATAAAACACCCAAATACAAATAAACAAACAAGACCCAGATAAAATAATTACTACAATTCCAGGAAAGTCATCACTATCCAGTAAAAACAAAATAAAAAATTAATTTAAGTTCGCAAGTTTCTATTACTGAACTATAATGAATGGGAAAAAATTTAAATACTTTCAACCTTGAATAAATAATTTTATTTTAGGTAAGTAAACAAATTAGAGTGGCAACAAATGCAAACTTACATTTTCATAATGTGAAGGCAATTTGTTACACTTATCTCTGCTATATTATATTAAAAAAATTATATCCTATTCCCAATTTAACAATTCAAGAGGCACATTCTCAAGGGTTGCAAATAAAAGTTTTCAGAACTTCTAAAATCTCATTTCATCCTCTTTATGTGCATGGGAACACCAAAATAACAACCCAGATGTGGACTACAGCATTGTTAAAGATGGTAACAGCAACCCAGAGGGACACCACTCATGACCATCCTCTACCCAGACACAGAGCCACTGACCACAGCTCTCTGGCTGCACCCATCCAGCCAGTTCTTACCCACTCAATAGCCCATCCATGTCTTTCCAGTCTGGAGATAAGGATGTCATGTGGGACGGTCTTCCCTTGTTGGCCATTGCCATCACTCCACCACAGAAGGGTACCAGATTGGTCAGGCACCATTTGCCCTTGGTAAAGCCGTGCTGGATGCCTTGGATCACCTCCTTGTCTTTTATGTGCCTTAGCACATCTTCTAGGAGGATCTGCTCCGTGGTCTTCCCAAGCACAGAGGTGAGGCTCACCAGTCTGTAGTCACATGGATCATCCTTTCTCCCTTTTAAAAAGCAGGAGCAATGTTTCTTTTTTTCCAGTCACTGAGGCCTTTGCCTGAGTGCCATGACTTTTAAAATATGATGGAGAGTGGCTTGGCAACAACATCAGCCCGTTCCCTCAGGACCCTGGGATGCCCATCATCAGGTCCAACAGACTTGTGGCTAATCAGCTTCAACAAGCCATCCTTAAACATGTTTGCTTACAGTGGGAGGGAATTTACTGCCTCTACACTCACCCAGAAGATCAGGAATTTGAGAGAAGTGGGAAGTCCAGTTGATCAGGAACAAACTGTCTGCAATTGAATCCCAATACTGAGCCCAAAAACCTTGCAATGCCAAATATCGCAGCACTGGTAACTCGAATTCAGGGAGCGTCCCCTTCAGGGATGGCAACCCTAGATATAAAGCGTATCTTTTTATGATTCCCAGTGGTAAAAAGTATTTTTGACCTTAGTCTGAATAGTTAAACAAGTTGAGCCACAAAGGGGTAACTATGCAGAGTATATTTGCTTCTATTCAGGCACATACAGGCATGTTTTTGGCAAAATATTAAATGCACATACAAAGGATAAGTTATTGCAAGTTAAGAGCAAGGAGAGTTGCAGATTTATTTAGAGTCCTCACTTTGTGCTTCACTTTCTCCAGTGATCTTGTTTCTTGCCAAGTCCCTGTATGCATCCCCCATTAGCCGCTCTCTAGGTGGTCCAAGATCTTCCAGCTGTTTTCTCTGTCTGGTTTCTAGTTCTTCCAACCTCTTGCGAAGCAGGGAAAGCTCTCTTTGATGCTGCTCCTCCTTGGGGAAAAAAAAAAAAAGGAAAGTGGCACTATTACATTTTGCACACCTACAGAGGATCAAAACGAGCAATAATTTATTTCTTTAATGAAAATAAAAACAGTGAAGTCCAAAATATCCTTATTTGTTAAATTTTACTCATCAGTGTTTTGTGGGTATTATTCTGACATTCATGATAAACAGCATGAGCAAGAAATACAGCTGCAACTGTTCCTCCTCTCAGATGAAAGAGCACACAAACCTGAGGTCTCAGTAACCAAGAATCTGTGAAGTCAACCTGATCAACCTCAGCCAGAGAGATTTTCACCCTCAGAAACTCAGTATAAGACTTTTAACCCCATAAGAAATCAAGAGCAGCAATACTGTTTTGTAATAATGAAACCATGGTGTGAGAATAACACTGTGGTATTTCTTTCTCAGAAGGAGCCACTTAAACCCTCTCAGGAGAAGGACAAAGTATGTAGAACTGGGTTAAAACTGCCTGTTTGTTACATTCTGTAGCATATCCTTTGTCTTTCAAGCACTCCTTCCTATTGCAAGGAAGGGAACATCTCTAGATATCTCAAAGTTTCCTTCTTCTGTTCAAAGATAAAATACTCTTTCCTTAAGACTAAGGTCTGTAAAGAAGGACTGTTCTAGTACCCTCTTTTGTTGTACTGTTTTCACAACTTGTAATATATCAGCACCTGAAGAAGAGGGAAGGACACTTCAGACCCAGGAGGCAGGGCAGACGATGGCATTATCCCAAGTGGATTGAGTGATGGTATGTTAGGGTTCAGAATTATGCTCCGGAATTCATTGTGCCGACGTTGCAAGTCCTTTAGTCTCTTCTGGAGGCGTGCATATTCTTCAGAGGAAACATTCTGCCTAGGAAATGAGAGATTTCTTATTGCTCAAAATCTTTGTTATCCCAACACAGCAGCATACCTCTCCATGAGTGCTCTGCTGTTTACTACCTATCCCAATATACCAGAAGAACTGGAAGGTACTGCATGTCTGTCTAAAAATCCCTCTACATATTAGGCTATCTGCTGTATTTTAGATTAGAATTTACATAGAATAAATTAAGGTTTTAATACCATTCACAGAATTGAACCACAGGAGCCACAATAAATTAACTATTCAAATCAAGTCCTCCATAGGTGCTCAATGAAGAGAAAAAACCAGGACTTTATCTTTCAAAGAGGAGAATTGCAAGAGTCTGTCCCTCTTGCAATTCTGAAGTCTTTTTCACTTCCTTCTTTTGAAGGGATTCCTGCAAGTGTGTCAACCAGGTATTTCTCCTCTCTTTCTTCCCAAAGACACAGCCCTGCAGTTGTCTTACAAGCTGCCCATCCTAAACAGAATCTATTCAAACAATTCTAGTGATGAATAGGCCATTAAACTTGACTCTGGTTATTAAAGTAGGTGACAAATCTTCAAAACCACTTCAATTTATAAGTCAGATTTTGGACATATATAAATTTTCAAGCTAAGAAAAAGCAAAGTTAATTACCTAATTAACATCTGATTTTGTTTTTCTAGTTCTTCCATCTTGGCTTCCAAAAGTTCTATTTTTTCACGCATCCTCCTTTGTTTATTGTCATTGAGAGTCTTTCTCTGTCAAACAGACATTTGAAACAGCTAAGTAATACCTTGATAGATTAAATCCTGTAAAAATTAAATCTACAGTGTACATAGTTTCAAGCTGTGACACTTTATAGGATTTTTCTTCCTTAAGAAGAGGAGCTGTGTTGTTTGAAGGGGCTTGGATTCCCATGATGGGAAACAAATGCAACCTGCAACTGAAGTATGCACAACTGCTGGTGACTTGTTGGTTAGTGACCAACCGTACTAACAAACACCAGCTGTATTTGATAATTACAAAGCTCATTCTTGAAATGACCATATATAAATAAGTATAAACATGACCAGGAAAGTATGCTTCCTTCTTTTAACTTTTTTTTGCTCGTGTTGACCTTAACTTTTTACAGCCATAAAAGCTACTGGTAGGTTTTATAACCTGTATATGTTCAAAGTATAACACTGTTAATTAATCCTGAGCTTTTATAAACAATTAATCTGCCTTTCCTTTCAAATTATTTCAGAAAAAGCAAGTTTAGAAGAGATAAAATTTTAATATTTCATCAAGAAACATCTGAAACATCATCCTCCCTAATCAAGGGGTCCACCTCTTAAATAACCATAAATACACACCTGTATGTGCAAAGAAAGCCTCACAAAATCTTTGATGGCATTATAAGGAGGTTGTTGGCTGTAGTATACTTTTACATGCCACTTCAACCTATCTCTATGCTGGTTTAAAGAACCCAATATATTTAGTTATTAAGTAGACTGCAAATAAACTTTAACATTGAAACAATTCTAGCTGGCCAACTTAAAGCTGAAATTTTCCTAAGTTAGATCATTCATAAAGGAAGAGACCACATGCCTTTTTCTGAGCAACAGCAGCTCGACACAGCTTGTTCCTCAGCTGGTTATATTTCTCTTCATGGTCTGTGATGCACTGAGTAAGTGTACGCTTCTCCTGCAGCCATTCCATACGCTGGCATTCTAAAATCCTTCGAAAAATCAGGTTAAAAGATTAGGAGGTTATACAAACAAAGCAGTACGTTCAGTTAATGCTTTAAGATGCTTAAAATAGACACATCTTTTCACAACTCTTACCTTTATATACTTGAAGGATCTGATTTAAATTTGATTATGCTAACAATCTAATTGTGACTAACAACATTTGAACCTGCACATTAACATTATCTTAGGTTTTGTTCAACCATGAGGCAAATTCTGAAAAGTGATTCTAATAAACTAGCTAATTGTTGGCATGCTACCAAACCACCCATAGAAAATTCCTAAATTCAGGTCAAACAATCACACTGGAACACAAGAGTAGACACCTATGCCAAACATCAGTTGCTAGAAGAGCTGACAACTATCTCCTCAGTTTGGGAGAACAGCGTGCTGCCCTATGGAGTCTCCTGTGTCTTAGTAAAAGACTTGACTAGAGCGTGCTCCTGACCAGAACAAACACCAGCTCAACAGAAGCTCCCACCAGTATGGTTTCTAGACAACATTCCAGCTGAACACACACCACCAATGGCATATGTAACCTGCTTAGATCTTTGCATGGTTAAAACATACTAAAATTAGGTTGTGTTCTCTAGCAGTGGATAGGAAAGGAGCCAGTTTCTCTCTGCTGCCTTGTTTGTTTGGGCTATCTGCATTGTGAGTCGAAGCAGACAAGAACTAACTGCAAATTTAATTACATGACTCTTAAAGAATAAAATCAAATGTTGAGATTCTATGCAGCAGCTTTTAAGAAGGCAAAAGCTTGGTATCAGTGCATCCATACCACTCTAGTCCTGGGCTGATGCAGTTTCCCTACAGGGACTCTGAATGAATCTCCGTAAGTTTCTCATCAAATGACCTTTCCCTTCCCCACAGTAGAAATCTTAGGCATCACCCACTCATGTTGAAACCAGGGTCCTGGCCCCCATGGTAACTGTCACAGCTCTTTTAGTAGATCCATTGTGGCTTGTACCTCACTGATGACTGTAAAGTACTAGTTCCCAGGAACCAAAGCACTTTTGACAAGCACTGCTTGGCAGTAAAAGGATTTCAGTTGAGGCAGCAGTTAAAAATGTCATGAGTTGGGTATGGAGTTTTTTGGGAGTGTTTTTTAGGGTGGTTTTTTTGTTTGGTTTGTTTTTCAAATGCCACTAACATTGTTTCTGAAATGCTTAATAAGTGCCTGTTTGAGTTCATCTCTGATCTGTATCACTCTCAGAGTTTGCCTTCAGCTTTTTTTCTCATTTCACAAGCCTAAGACTGACACAGCCAGGCACACAGCTGCTTTGCCTACTTATGCTCAATGCTCAACTGGTATTATTTTATTTATCTGAACTTTTTATCTTGTGCTTTCTTATCTTTTGGTCCCTATTTCACTTCCTCTTTCTTTGGTGCAACTTAACTCTTGGAGTTCAAACTCATAAGAATTACTGAACTGAGGAAGGATGTCCTATCACCCACAGGTTCATAAAAAGGATGGAAACATGTCCCAAGGCTCCCAGTGTAGCAATGGGACAGACCTGCAGGGCTTACACATAGGCTGTGTAGGCTGCAAAGCTGCTTCATTTCTGCAGTATCAGGCTTGGTGCATCCCCCATTTACCTACAAACTTGTACGACGATCTCTGAGAACTGACAAGTTCCTTCCTTCCACTGCCTTCCCAGGAAAACCTAGTCTTGACTAGCCTGTGGTTCAGCCTATGTAAATGACAACAGCAGTCTCACTCAAATAACAGCAACAATCTCACACAGCATGTGAATACACCTCCCTAAATACATCCAAAGTATTTAACATGCCACTGACAACTGAACATACTCTCCAGTCCAAATGCAACAGTATCTACAAATGTTAAACCGAAAAGCAGTAGTTAAACTAACGACAACAAAGCAATTACAGTACCAAATCATAACAAAAGAGATGTTAAAACAAAAAAATGCCACATTATACCCTTTGGAAGTTTTGTATTTAATCTGGGACACTGGCTTTTTAAAAAACCCACCACGCAATAATCCAGTACAAGTTAGACATGTATTTGGTTATTAGGCTAGGAAATTCTGAAGAGCCATTTGTATTGGATTTCTGTGGCCAGGTTTTGGTAGCAGAGAGGCTACAGGAGTGAATTCTGTGAGAAGCTGCTGGAAGCTTCTCCCATGTCTGGTAGAGGCAATACCAGCCAGCTCCAGGACAGACCTGCCACTGGCCAAGGCCAGGCCAATCAGGAATTATAGTAATGACTCTATAACATTTTAAATATAATATTTAAGACAGAAAGAAAGTTATTGTGCAGATAAAAATTGCAGCCAGAGGAGAGCGGAGTGAGAACATGTGAACAACAACACAGACACCAAGGACAGGGCAGAAGGGGGGGAGGAGGTGCTCCAGGCACCAGAGCTGAGTCCCTGGTGGTCCTGCACATGGTGCAGACCGTAGTGGAGCAGCTGTGCTCCTGTGGCTCATGGAGGACCATGGACCATGGGAGAGGAGCCCATGCTGGAGCAGGTTCTCCTGATAGGACTTGTGGCCCGGTGGGGGATCCATGCTGGAGCAGCCTGTGCCTGAAGGACTGCACTCCATGGAAAAGTGATCTGCACTGGAACAGTTTGTGAAGAACTGTTGCCCATGGGATGGACTCAGGCTGGAGAGGTTCGTGAAGGACTGTCTCCTGTGGGAGGGACCCCATGGGAGCAGGGGAAGGACTCCTCTCCCTGACTGGTGGCAGAAACAACAACTGGCTGTAACCCCCCATTCCTCATCCCCCTGCGCCGCTGGGGGGGAAGAGGTAGAATTTGAAAGGAGGGAGAGATGGGGGCACGGTATTTTTAAGATTTATTTTACTTCTCATTCTCCTGCTCTGATTCTGTCAGTAATAAATTTAATTAGTATCCTCACTTTGAGTCTGTTTTGCCTGTGATGGTGATCAGTAAGGGATCCCTCTCAGTCCTTATCTCAACTCATGAACTCTTTGTTATACTTTCCCTCCTCTGTCCAGTTGCAGAGGGGAGTGAGAGCAACTTTAGTGGGTACCTGACATCCAGCCAGGGTCAATCCACTACACCATTTCAGGCTAACTGCAAATTAATCTTCTAATTCCAGGAAAGTGTTCATTGCTATATGGAATCTGAACAAGATTCAGCTCCCATCAGCATTTATTATCATATTTTGATGTTATGTGGCCAAGCTTGTGCAAAAAATGAAAGTGATTATTTTTAATGTTGATGAGAGGAACTAGAAGATATCCAATAAGCTTTTATTTACCTCATATCAGTGGGAGGTGAAAAGAAGTATATACTTGTATCTACTGACTGGGTCCCTGAAACATTATCAAAGCATAGTACAATGCTTGAATGCTTTTTTTCACCCTCGCTGCTTAAACACTCTTAAAAGAATTGTGCCAGAAACTCTAGATCCATTTATAGAAGTCTGACATTCCCTTCAGTATAAGTAGAATTTCATTTTATACAAGCAGTTTATCTCCACTAATCAATAATTTTAACAGACATGAATGGAAACGAACTCCTGTTTTTGAAGTTACCATGAGCAAAGTTTTCATTCATACTGTACAACAGAACATATAGCCATTTTTTACAACTGTCCAATATTTCCTGTTAATTTTCACTTTCTGACTTTACTTAACTATGCACTGTAAATTCTGGATAATCTACATGAGAGGAACACAAGCAACATAAAAAGTAAAGCCAAAAGAAAAAAAGTACTTCTCTCTTTCCAGTTGAGCTTTCTCTGCCTGTTGACATTCTTGTTTCAGTCTTTCTATTCTTTCCTTCAACTTCTCATTAGACTCCAGCAAATCCTTTTCTGATTGAGAAAGTGAGGCAAGCTGGAGTTCCATGTTGTAGATTTGCTATCAAAAAAAGAGAATTTTTTCCATTTGAGAAGATATACAAATAACTGGCAATTCATTTTGAGATACTGAGACAGTGCAAAATGGAAACAGCAACTAGCTTTAGCTTTTCATTAGCCTATTTTACTTGTCCCTTTTCTCCTTGCTCAGCAGTCTCTCCAGAAACTTTACAGTAAATCACTTCTAGACAAAGAAGGTTTTCTATTATACTTAAAATGAGGAAGTGAGGCAGGACTCTTCAGTCAATGACATGACCCCCAGAACTTCAGAATTTCAACATTAAGCCCCAGGGCAGAACAGAGATAGAGGACCACACAACATTTAGTAGCAGCGCTGTGGAGCTACCCAGGCTCTCATGAAACAATGTGTTACAACCAGCAGTGACTTGTACCAACCAGTTCACAAAAATAAGGAAGCACAGAGCTTGAAAAATCCAACCTCTGCAGCCCCCATATAGAAATTATTTCCCTTTCCTTTTCCTCCCCCACATGGAAACTTAGATACCCCAATTTCTGATTTCTGGAGGAGAAAAACAATTGCCTTGAACTTCAAGTGCACACAGCTTGCAGAGTACTTTGATGCACAGCTATTGTTACCTACTAAATAATATCACGGGCAAGCAGGAGTTAAAAAAATTAGGTTTTATTTTCAACACTCTCATCAATTGACTCTGCAATAGAAATATACCTCTTTACACTAGTTTGTTCATTTATGAAACATCTGTTAAGCACTTGAAGAACCTCAGATGAGAGATGCAGTGTAAATGCAAAGCATTACCTAGAAACACTTTAAGTCTCCATGGAAACTGAATCTCCAGTTAAAATAGTGCATAACCATATTCAATATAGCAGTCTATAAACATTCAGCTTTGAAATCCCTGGTACCCACAAAACACATGAAGCAAAAAGCTGTAATTCATTTATAGAGGTCCAGGAAAACATAATTTATTTCTGAACACATCTCCTTTTAAATATCCACAGTACGCATTTTGTTCCTCAGGAAAAGAAAAAGCCTTAAAAATTCAATCTAGTCTTCAAACACAAGGACATGGTAACTACAGGAAAGAATGTACTTCTCTATAAGAATTACAATGCAATAAAACCTTACCTGTTTCTGATCAGTGCTTTCACGTTTCCATTCTTCCAGCTCTTTTCTCTGCATAGCTTGCTGTTGAATTTTTAATCTAAAATTGTGTAAGATAACCTTATTTTTATCTAATCAAAATACAGATGTCATAAATCAGTCTGACAAATAAATAGCATTATTTGAGAGGCTGAAAAATATTTAACTAAACAATGATTAAAAATACTTTTTTATCAATTATTAGAATTTGCACAGGAGTAAAATACATTGATTTGTATGCTTTCGGAGTATGACTTTTGCTCATTTTATCATAACAACCTTCATACAAAACTACAGTAACCTAAGTTACCTCACGACCATAATAACCAACTGGAAGAGACATCATATTAGGGTCCCAGCTTGCCAGTTGCTGATATGGCGCCTTTGTGGAAAGAGAAATGGTTTATGCTAACACTGGATCTATGCCAGCAGCCAGCATGGAACCAGCTTTAACAAATATGTATTGCAAAGTTATGACTTGAAAATTTTCATTGAAATTATATAATTTTTAAAGGATTGGATGAAAAATTTTATTTTTTTAAACAGTTCATTTTTAATTCGGCTCTCTTTTTTACATAATGCAAAAGGTAATTCTGTTTAATCTGCTATAATGAACATTTCATAATGAAGATTTCTGTATCTATGAATAGTAGACTTTTATACTGCCTACTGTAAAGAAATTAAGGGGGGAAATGAGAAATTCGTGCTAAGATTAGAAAAGGCACACTACCTCAAACGCTGAAGTTCCTTTTTGCTAGATTCTTCTGCCATCTGTGCAGCACGTAGTTTCTCTTCATACTGATCCTTTTCAGACTGTCTCCAAGTATCTTCTTCCAGTTTCATCTTCTCTAGATGAGCTAATCTGTTCTCAAGTTCTAACCTACAATGTTATTCAACATGCACACAAGAATCATTACAAAATGCCAGAAGTGTTTACTTGTTGAGAGTGACATTTTTAAAAGTAACTCAAAACACTCTTCTTTTAGAAGTTGAGAAGTAAATCAACAAACATACTTTTCATTCTGTAAGGCTGCAATATTGTCAAAACCTTCCTCTTTGGCAGCTTGCACTTTACGAATTAGCTCCCGATCCTTTTCTACTAAAAGCACTTTATGACGTTTAACAGCTGCCTTAAGAATTTCCTTGTCGGACAGCAATCCTGCGTTATACATTAAAAAAAGTTAAAATGTCATTACTGATACAATCCAGGATTCAAATAACTTTATAACTTCATAAAAGGGAGCTAGAAATCACAATTCATAAGATAGAATGAACAGGGAAAGGGAAAAAACCAAAACACAAGAAAACCAGAAGAGATGTGGCTTTTCTCAGTGTAAGAGCAACATTTCAAAACTTTTGAAAAGTACTCTTTATACTGGAATCTCTGTCTATGGGAGTGTATTATTTGCATATACAAAAGTAATTAATCACTTAATATTATTACAGATTTAAACTCTAGAGCAATTTATACTAAGCAGTTGTTTCTGGATTTAAAAAAAGAAGTGTTCCACAATATGAAAAGGTCATGCAAGAAGATTTTCTTTTTCTGGAAAAGTTTACAGTAAACAGTAACTGGGTACCAGTGAAACCATAGTAACCAGGCTACAACAAATTTCACATTTTAATCCATTTATACTACCAAATGAGGCAATTCTGAAACTATGACTCTATAGGCAGGAACAAATGATCCAAATTAAAATCTTGTGACTGAGACACCTGTGTTCACTGGCAAATAGGCCAATTTGCCCTAGCAATGACACCTGGTTATTTAACTAATTCAGTGATGCACATTGAATTCCACAGCAAGTTCAGGTTATCTTAAAACTTGTCTGTATTTAGTTTCATATTTCATAGGGCTCAACATTTTTAGTTTGCAATATACTGTAAGTACATTGTCAATTCAGAGAACACCACTTTCTTACAGTTGCTCTTAGCAAACTTACTATTAAAGCAAGTAAACACAAACAACTATTTCAGGAAGACAAAGGTACTGTTTTGGAGTTACAGCAAATCAGTGAGGACAGTTCTCTTTAAAGCTGTGTAGTGATTTAAATCATCAACACACAACTAGTTTTAGAAAGTTTTGGCCTTTTCATTCCAGAAAGCTATTTGAAGTTGCCAACATACTCAGCTGCATCAGGTAGCTTAGAACATTCCCTATTTCCTTCAAAGAACGAGCTAGAAATTGCATTTTGTTTCACATGGCAGTCTTACCAAATTGGTATCAATTCCATGGACACAGAATCAAAACCCAAACCAACCACTGAAGACCTATGGGACTTATAGTTTCAAGCCGAGTGTGAAAGACTCTAGAATTTAGCAATGATAGAAAAAATGACCACATGAAGCACATGATTTAAAACAGATTATACTCAAATTGTGACACAAATTCACTAATTTACATGAACACAAAATTGTTCTGTAACTGTTCTCAACCTCACAGAGCAAGTGAAACCACACAGTTACTTCAGATACAAAATGATTTGTCAGATCTATGACCCAGACCAGAAGCAGAAGGTGAAGACTGCTGGGGAGTTTTCAGAGGAAAAATAATTTTATTATTGTAACTAGAAGTTACAAAAGAAATAGTTAGAAAATAATTTCACACTTTACCATCCATTTCGCTTTGAATCTTGTTTTTCTCCCTTTCTACCTCACTCTTTGTTCTTGTTGCCTCCAGTTTGACATTTGTTAATTCCAATTTATGTGAATGTTTAAGTTCTTCTACCTATGAATTAGAAAAAAAAACACCACCAAATCAACTATATTAAATTTGTATATATTTACTTCCCTTCTGATGAAAGATCCCTCAGAGTCAAGCTAAAATAAAGTTAATCTCCATAAGTAAAACAAAAGAGTGATATCCAAACCCCGATTATCAATTGCTCCCCTAAGTAATTTCAATTTCGTGACTATTTATAGTCCCCCTGACCTCCCAGAGTGCTACACTACATTCTCAAAATCCAGGTCTTCATAGTTTTAAAGTGTATTTTAAATCACATACTTCTCTGTAGACACATCAAATGCCTCATAAAGGAGGAGGTTTAAGAACATCAAATCAAAGAAAATTAGTGCTTGCATGGAAACTTTCTATAGTTTAGGCATTGGTACACAGTAATTACATGGTCAATGAGAATTAAATATCTAGAGGAAAGGACTTATAATGAAAATCCATTCACAATGACAAATGTAATTACAACCTGCTAGCATATACAAGTGGCAAAAGGTTAAGAATGACACAGTACCTTATTAAGTAACTACACGGTGGATTTGGTTGCTCAAATACTAAGCTGAGAACATTTCAGGGCAACTTGCAAAGATTTAAGGTGGCATTTTTAAGGCACAAAACCCGGGAGACAAACGCGTGCACCTGTGCTCAGGAATAAGTTTGGGGGGGTGCAGAAGTGGGTGGAGGTTACTCTAGAAATTAGTTTCTACTTTCCTCCCTTCAAGAAACACCACTGAACATTTTATTTTGCCCTAATTCTGGAGGTGAGCAGAGAAGACCAGCTGATACAAAAAGAAAAGACTGTAACAATCTTCTACATATTCTGATAGATGATTGAAAAATGTTTAACGAAAGTTTTCCCCTCCTATTTAGTATTCACATGGGACAAGTATGACACATTAGATAGAGAGGCTTTAAATAGTGGTACAGCTATTTGCCTATTCTCATGGCAAATTAGAACTTTTTTTTTAATTAAAGACCAAAATTAAATACTTAGCACTCATAAATGTGCACTGTAAAGCCTGTTTTGAATTAAATCTGAGATTGTTAAAGAACAACTATGGTTGAAGTTAGAATTTTCTTCCTGTATTCTATCTTTATTAATTATATCATGATAAAATTAACTGCCATTCCATATAAAGTGCATGTTAGTGTTTGGAAAGTATATTCAGAAAATCAGGACAGCCTTAAGTCAACAGAGAACGTAAAATGATCCTGTATTCAGCCAGATATACAAGCTCAAAGTTAGTGGCTTTACAGTTACTTCAGAACTACCTAAAGCCTCTCCAGAAAGGTAAGAAAATACAGGGGATTCAACTTGTTACCAGGAACTGACAGATGCGATAAAAAATTATTACCAAATATTCTCTCCAGAAAGGAGGGAACAAGGGACAGAAGAAAGTTTGTATTTACCCAGGTAACTACTTCAGTAGGTCTAGTATCCTGACTCAAATTTACATAGAGCAATGTAAGTATTGTACAACACTTGAAGGTCAAAAGGTTTACCAGTGTTTTTACTTTCCTTGTTTGAATTATTCAAACAATCACATGTAAAATTGCATAAAGGATCTGTCTGTGTAACTGAGGAGTCACTGCAACCAGATAAAACCCTCAATGTGGCATCCACACTAACCAAATTATGCTGAAATATTAAACAGTGATGTCAGGTTTCTTAAGAAGTTTCAGGTTTTCCCTAAACTTGAAGCCTTCTGATCTTTTTTTTTTCCAAAGTATTTTTCTAGAAATTTCTCTCAGATCTCAAAAAAAAAAAAAAAAGGGAAAAGGAAAAGCATACAATCATAGAACTAAACCTCTAAGATCTGGTGTCAACTCAACAACTAAGTTACTCAAATATGTTGTAAGACAATGGTCTACTTAAAATGGTATGATGCAATCCTGTATTAAAATGTTTCTCTACAAGCTGTGCTGGCACAAGCCCAACAAAAAGGCTATGCTAATGTGACTACCCTGCTTCTAATATAACCTAAATCTCCACAAGTAATTCCAATGCTTGCTTCCTGTACCTAACATAGCCCATTCAGAGAATACTTTTTAAGATCTCCAGAAGCTCCATTAAAAAAAAAAGGGGGGGGAATTCAATTTAAAGCTCTAATGGCTGGCTGTTTTCATAAGCACTAAAAACATGAAAATAAAGACCTCTCTTCAAGTCCTGTTCTGTTTAGGAAAAGTAGGGAAAGGACCTAGAAAATGAAATAAAAAGAACATAACCTTAATCTTTAGAGATAGTTTTATGTATGATGTTTCTCCTGTAAAGTCACACATTCTGTATCTTCCAACTGAAACTGAGGGGAAAATTCCAAACCTATTTTAAGTCACAGCAGAAGACATTTTTACTTTATTCTTAGTGTAAAATATAAACAGAAAAACTTAAACATAACAGGATAGGAAAAATTATTTCAGATACCATAAAAGTACTTACTTTAGCAGCTAAGGAACTGACTTCTCGTTCACATTTGTTAAGTTTGCTAGTTAAGACAATGTTCTGCTCATTACTCGTCTGCAGTTCTTTCTCAATTCGATCGACCTGCAGTTCAGCAGACTTCTTTTCTGCCTTGAATGAAGGAGGTATTTGTAAGATTTTTGGAGCAGGGTTACAGCACCGATAGTAGTAAAAAGTAAACCATCTATCTGTATCCTGCAACTGTGCAAGAAACCTAGAGGAAAAGACTCACTACCAAGAGAGAGAGCAAGAACTGACGGGAGCACTGAGGACCATAGACGAGGAATACAGTGGAATCCTGGGAAGAGAACAACAGGCCAGCAATAACAAAGTTTCTTTAAGGGAGAGCAACAGCCAAGAACTAAACAATTGCAGTAATGTGTTGGAGAAAGAAGAGGCACAGGCAAACAAGATGACAGATGAGGAAAGGATTAAAGAAATAGAGGAGCATCATGTAACATTTTTGAAAAGAATAAAACATTTACTCTAGAAGATTATTAACATATTGGCATTGGTTTCTAAATTCAGCCAACTGGCAAGTGCTGACATGATCATCTTACTGACTGCAAATGTGGATATCACTTGCATGTTTAGAAAGGAGATAATTCAACAGAATCTCTCAGTTGAAGGATTTCCAAAGTTGAACTGGTAGTACATGACTTCCAATACTCCCAATATATTTATAAATTGATTTTAAATCTGAAATGTATGAATTCAAATTATGGAGTCAATGGCAAAATGATCCGTGACTTCAGTGACAGTTCTATCAGGCCAAATGTTATTCTCACTACATTCTACAAGGGGGCAAAATAATAATAAAAAAGAAATCTTACCTCTAGACATCGCATTGCAGCCTGCATGTCAGCTATCTGTCGTGCTTGTACTCTTTGAACACTTTCTGCTTGCACACCACAATTGTGTCTTTCTGCTCTTAGTTCTTCTACTTCTGCTTCTAAGGCTTTTAATTTCTGACACAGTTGTGCCTTTTCTCTAGAGAGTGCCTCCACACGTTTACTGTCCTTTGTGGGATCAATACTAAGCAGCTGATTATGGAGTTCTTCTTTATCTTTATCCAGTCTTGCAATCTGAGAGTTGTTAATCAGAAAAATAAAGCTTTTACATTGGTTAAGTGTCAGGTAGCAACAAGTACAGCAGTTGACAATTCAGAGAAGAGCAGCAGTGGACATTTAAAATATTAAGAAATTACACTAGTGTTTGTTTTCTTGCTTAGAGTAGGAAAATAAAGCAAGACCATCTGACTCTGTAACTAGTGGGTTCTTTTTGAGATCACTAGAGAGTCCAATGTTGACTGATATCCTCATTACGGCACTGGATGATGGGATGGAGGCAGTTTCAGCAAGCTTGTGTGTGGCACCAAACGGGGGAAATGGTCCACACACTGGAAGGCAGAACTGCTGTTCAGAGGAATCTGGACAGGCTGAAGGAGTGGAATGGACCAGACCCTCTTCAACAAGATGAGAAAGTCATGCATCTGAGATGGAGTAACCCAGTGCAACTACACAGATTGAGTGCAACTGCCTAGGAAGCAGTTCCATTGAAAAGGATCTGGGGGTCCTAGTGGACAACAAGCTGAACATTAGTCATCAGAGTACCCTTGCAGCAAAGATGACCAATTGAATCCTGGCAGATTGGCAGAGGGATAGCTAGCAGATCCAGGGAAGTGATTCTTTGTCCCTCTCCCAGTCCTGGTAAGACTGCATCTGGAGTTAGCATCAAGTACATGAAGAAAGCGACAAACTGAATCAAATCCAGTGGCCTCTAAGATGGTCAGGGTGTTGGGGAACATGACATATAAGGACAGGCTGAGAGAACTATGCCTCTTCAGCTTGGAGGAGATGCATAGAAAGAGAGGCAACAGGTACAGGCTGGAACATGTGAAATGCCAATTAGGTATTAACAAAAAAGTTTACCATGAAGATGGTTAAATACCAAAATAGTTTGGCCAGAAAAATTGTGAAATCTCCATCCTTGCAGATGTTCAAGACTTGACTGGACACGGCCCTAAGCAACTTTTCTCATTACATTTCAATATTTTAAGCAGGATTTTGGACTAGAAAGAAGTCTATTTCAACTTATATTATGATTCCACCATTTTATAACTACAACAGAAATCTGCTAATAACTCAAGATAGGCAACATGATTGGGCCCTGTCAGACAATAAAGCACAAAAAAAAATCTTTCTGTACAAACGATACAAACTAATCTGGAGAAAGTAACTAACAAAAATATAAAATATAAAGATTGTTGTATTTCAAAATTAGTTACATGGACTGAATGCAATACTGGGGGCAAAAGAGTATGAAGTAAGGTGTGTAAGAGGAGATATCTGGAGACTAGTCCAAACTCTGATCTGCAACAGTCCCTTTAGAAGTCGCACCAGCATCCTCTAAGCAGCAAAGCCGATTTCTGCAGCAAAAGCCCTCCAAATGCCTTCTGTGAGGAGATTCAAAGACTTATTGCATGATATGCCCAAGCCATCATTTAAGAATGAGAATGTTTTTATAGCCTCCTTGTGCTAAATGACATGGAAGGTTAAAAAGGCTTGGAGAGAAACCAGACCACACTGTGCCCTGGGCTCGAGGTAGTTTTGTTCTGTGTAAGTGTGCTAATTAGCTGCAGTACTAGCACAACCTCAAGAAGCCCATGAGAGAGGTAGGCTGCAAAGCAGCATGTGGGTTTAGCTCCAGGAAGGACAACTGTTTTGTTTTTAATGCATTGCATTTGCAAACCGGGATTGAATTTGAAAGCGATGATTGCTTTGATTTGTGTCTGATGTTTGGAGTAATACATTCAAATCTGGCATCTTAGAATATATGCTCCCAGACAAATACTTAGATGAATATGCAAATGACATATGCAACACTCATTTACACTGCTGGATATATTTAAAACATAAATATGCTGGCAATTTATTTAGCTACATATACTTCTGAGAGTCCAATTCTGAAACAAATGAATAATGGTTTATTCAAGAGTTAATACAACTGAAATAAAGCTACCAAAGTTTTCAGTATCCTTCTGATTATCACTGTCATGATCTAAACCTAGGATCATAACAGGTACGTGGCAAAATGTACCCTTATCTGTTATCGACAATATCTTCCTGGATTAGGTGTCACATAAGTAATTTAAAATCCAACCTTACATTGGTTCCCCAGATAACTCATTAATTTCAAATTCCAACACAAAGGAGATTAAAAAAAGCATTAAGCAAACCTACTGGCTGTCATTTACCAGAAGGCAAGTTATTCTTACTTTTAATAGCACAAATGAAACTGCAACACGTAACTGAACAAACCTACAGAGGCAGCTTTAGACCAAGTCATAGAAGTATTTTGTGAATGAAGAGAATGGAAACAAACACTATGAAATGGTGTCAAACTGACAACTCTTCAAGTACCATCAGTTCCATAATGTTCAAGAAGCTTTGTCATCAGTTTCTTTCCATACTACTGTAATGTTCTATGTACCTCAGCCTCATATTTTATTTTCTTCTGTTCTAAAGTACGTGCATGTTCTTCCTGTTGATGTTCAAATTCTGATTTCAGAAAAGTATGTTCGTAACGAAGTTTGTTATATAGTGTTCTGTATTTTTCCACTTCCTAAGTAAGACAAAAAAAATTTTAAAAAAATCAAATTTTCAGATTTACTTCCTTGAAATGTCCATGCAATGTTTCTATCACTTCATAAGTTATATTTGATTAACAGAATGCCTCCTTCTCCCTCTTCCACAATTTCAGCCTTCCCTGCCTGGGACAACAGCACCAGACAAAGAATGGCATACTTGCACCCCTTCCAGTTTTAATTTTCTAAGGTTTTAGGAACAACTATAAAGTGGTGATCACTACTCTAAATGAAATAGAACTCCAGTACTTACTACTTGAATTTTCTACTACTTACATCTTCTAGCTTCTGATAACGTTCTCTCATAGGAGATTCCAATTCCTCCTGTATTTTTGCTTTTAACAGTTCTAATTTTTGAGGAGTTAGCACCTTAAAACAGAGAAGTATCATAAATAACTAGTCATGTTCATTTATTTACACTGTGATAGGACAAGCAGCAAGGAATAAAGTATTTCAAACATGATTTTAGGAATTCTGGTTAATTTTCTATGTTTTTCTACGGAAATTTCAATAGTACCTACAGAAGCAAAAAAATATACTAGTGAACTAAAAATATTCTGGGAAGGTAACAGAAGCATTTAAAATGTCAGTGTTTATTGGTAGAAGCAATACAAATGTCAAGCTGAATTGTCAAGAGATTTATCTCCTTTGAGGGGGAAGCAGGGGAAGGAAAAGTGGTCTCACATAAAAGATAAAGAATTAGCATCTGGAAAAACTTAAACAGCAAGTGAACCAACCCCAAAAAATCAAAATGAGCAATACCAAACCAACTATTTGTAAAACTTATTAAATATGTGTTCTCCAACAGATACATGGGTACTAGTTTGAATGAAAAGAACATCAGGAAAGATTCCCTGCCTTAAGCTCCATGCTGTATGGTATTTTTGTTAAAATTACTTGGGTGTGGTTCATACAGCAAACTATCTACCAAGAAGCAGTGCTTAATAAAAAGACATTTCATCCATAATCTGTGACATATTCTAATTTATTCTACTTTTCTTTCACTTATCTGTACCCTTAAGTCTCTGAAAACTAGTTCTACTTATGGTACTGAGGCACATCTCCTCCATTCAGAGTCTGGGATCCTACAATGTCCTACATTATTTTAAGGAAACAAGCAGTTACCTATAAAGTGTCATCCAAGTTGTCTTAAATATTGAGGGGGTTTTGTTTGGTTTGGTTTTTTTTAAGAAATAGAAAGAAAGAAGAAAGCTGTCATAATGAAGAGAAACAAATATCTATTTTTCCAGGTTTAGGCACCTAAGTTACCCTCCAAGGCAGATGATTTTCTCCTTAACAGGAGAGCAAGCACGGAGATTGAGAGTCTTACACAGCACCTAACAACAGGATTTGAAAGATTCAGTTAAACAAGAAAACAATAATTTCAACACACTAAAGAAGAACCACTCGTGTTGGGTGAATTTCAAGGCACCTGAAATACATCCAAACTGGGTATATACATGTTACACAAACAAAAAAATATGCATGGCCCTATTACAGGATAAAAATACATATTATGTCCTTCCAGTAAATTATCTCACCTGTATCTTCAGTTTTTCCAGCTCTTGCGATTTACCCAGCAACTGCTCTTGATATTCAGTGACAAGCTGCTGAACTTTGTCATTTGCAGCCTGTTTTTCATCTAATAACTGCTTTATTTCATCTTGTGATTTGGTATAATCGCCCTGTAATCTGAAATAAAATACACATTTACTTTATATTTACCTTCTAAAATTAGACCTTAAAACTCAAAACCTCACATGCAGAAGCAAACACACAAACACCAAATAAGAACTAAGCTACAAATATCCTCTTCCTGTAATATACTGAATAGTTATCCCATATTTACATGCATAAAAAGTATTCCCAAAACATAATCTGCAATGTCTAAAGTTACTTAAGGTATTTTGAATTGTCAGTTTTCTAATATGAACAACAGTCAAATCTGTCACTAGATACAGAAATAGCTAACATACAACACATACAAATAAATCCCTTCCAACATTTAGCTTCACATTTTAATAGTTTAGATGAAGAAACTTGTTTAAACTGATGTACCTTTGATGTTCTGCCTTTAAAATTTGATAATTTGCTTTATGGCGTTCGCTTCGCATTTTTTCATCTATCAGAAGTTTTAGTAATTCTCCTGGATTATCTGGATCATCATTTCCAATCACAGGAGGAAGGAGGCTGCCCAAACCATCCATTTTATGATGACTGTTCACAATGAGTATGGAGAAGACAAGATTAAAATTAATGTATAACTAATCTACAACACAATCCACTCTTTCTCCTGACATCTCAGAAGATCAAGACCCCTGAACAAATACAAAGGTACGTACTTAGCATTCAAGTACATTCACAGTTCAAAGGTTTCACACACTGCTTTTGCTTTAAGTACAGAAGAATCCTCGTTCTGCCATAACTCAGGTTAGAAACCTTTACTGAAAGTGCAGCTCTTGCCTGCTCATTCTGCCTTCCCTGAGAAGTAACAGTCCTTCCAGGGCACAGAATAAACTTAAACACAGAGATCATTTGAGTCAATACAAAACAAGCACAAGCGCTTCTATCTGACAGATTACATGAAATGGTATTTCTACTTACACTATACACTGAGACTCCAACTATGATGCTAGTAATGCCCTAATTATGCCTTGTTAGTCAGAGTTCAAGCAGAGGCCACAGACATCAGGCACATACAGCTTTTCCTACTACTTATCAAAGTCAAAGTTGTCACATCCTAATAGGTTGTACTCCTCCATACACCATCCTTTCTGCAGGAAGAAGAGCAGATAATTCTCTCTGCTGAATTCCTATGAAGCCCTCTCTGGAGAAGAGTTAAGGTTTCAGGGACAGCCTGGGAGACACCTGCCTGCAGTTCAGTCCTGAAATATCTCATTGCTATATGTCACTTTCTCATTTTCAGTTTATCTTGTGGTTTCTTGTGACCTTTCCAGAAAGTAATTTCTGAAACATGACAATATCAGATTGGTGTGAGGAATGCTGCAAATCGACAGTTGCTGAGGAATGAGGAAGTATCCTAATATACCTCATTAGTGCCTTTTGATGTTAGAAGCAACGCCTATTAATGTGAACATTACTGACACTTCCACAGGATCTGGGGGAGGGAGGACTGTAACTGAATTTTAGGGAAGTTACAAAGCCTTGAAACCAACTACTCTGCCATTTTAGCTTTTCCCATGGCCGACTGATGCCTAAAAACTCCACGGCAGCAGTGTACAGAGTGTAACTTTGAACAAAATAAAACTCAAACAGAAACTGTGTTAAAACTCTGGCATCACTGCAATACCTCACCTTCTTTATAGGCACAGTTGAATTTTCTACGATTCCACTCTTCAAATCTTTCATGGATCTATACCTTAAACACTCAAAATTTGATTTTATAAACCCCTGAACTCTAAGCAAGATGAAAATCTATCTTCCATATGGAAAAATAAACATCACATGTCAGTGCCCATTCCACTAAAAGACATGATAATGTCAAGGAAGTCTTATATTTAACATTTCTTTCCCATTTTTCCTTCCTCCATCACTAAGATTAGAAAAGCTCAGAAGAAAATCTACCACTTGGAACACTAGTATAGGCAAAGCAAGACAAGCAACTTTGTATTCTGCTTTACCCAAATTTGCTGAGATAATGAAAAGGAAGAAATCAGAATAGAGGAAGAAATCAGAATAAAGAATAGTATCCTCCATGACTGTCCTATATGCACAACCAACTTCAAACATTAATGACATAAGTTCTGAAGAACCTCCTAATCAATCCAGTCTCTATTTTTCCTTCCTGAATTTTGTTGGTTGTTTAGAACTAAGGACAACAGCAATTTCCAAACTCGAGATAAAAACGTTTTCAATTGTTAAACCAACAGCTGTATGAGGAGAACTGGACAGTGATGCAAAGGACAACAAATCACACGAGAGGACAGAAAGTTCTCATACACAGAGGAAACCCAAGGCAGCATGTCCCTAAGAATTTCTAAGCACATCAACATGGTTAACATTATCACTGTTAAAACAAACCAAAAAATAACAACAAAAAAACTAAACAACATCCAGGCAATAATACTTGTCTCTCTCTCAAATCATAAGCTAGAGATAATAAATGTAACTATCAAACTGTAAGCCAAAGCTCAGAATTAGGAACACAGAACTTAAAGTCAGGTCTGAATCCTGACACTTACTTGAGTAAGAAGTATTTCTGAAGTGGTATAACAGATCTAAAGTCAAAGACACTAAAAAAATCCTACATTTTCTGAGGGCATGTCAGCCAAAAGATAAACGGAAATGCAACCTTCTGTACGCAATTCCAAGCAGGTGAGAGGTACCTTTTCTCCTCACAGCTTTTGCCTCTATCAAAAAGTGCACAAATTACAAAGCAAGACACACACCTGGCCACGTGTTCATATGCACGAACATTTCATGAAAAAAGGAGACGAGAGAGGGAGATAATTGTAGTCTGCAAAATAATGGTTTCAGACTGCAAAAGCCTAAGCTGTATGTATTTAAGGAAACAAAACTATTCTGGCTTTCAGGGACATCTAGTGGCAAGTTTCATGACCTGCATTCCTGGTGACAACTGTGAAAAAGCAGAGATTTCATCACTTCATGAGAGGTCTTTCCTCGAAATCACTGATAGCAACTTGTAACATTTAACCTATTCACAATCTTACAAATAAAAAAGTTTTTTCATTTGTTTGGTTTGGGATTTTTTTTCCCAAATAATAAAATAATTTCTGGCAGTGAACTGTCAATAGACCCACCATTTGGGTCTACAAATATTGTAAGCAGATCACCAATAAGAATTTCTGCTGCACTAATGGCTTACAGTACTTGTTCACAGTCAGTGAACAGACCTTAAATAATCTTCAAAATTACACAAAACTGCACCCATAATCTTTGAGAAATCCTTTAAACGAACACTGTTATCATTTCTTCCTCTCCTGGAGATCTGTTCAAGTAGAGAACCATAAAACATCTTTAAAGAAACTAAAATCACATCATATATAAAGTTAATTCTATACCTACATATTTGCCAAATATTATCACACTACTGAACTTTTAACAGTTGCCCTGAACTCATACTATGAAACCTTACCATCATTTTCCACAGGTATACATATAAAGGTATTGGTGGAGAATCCTGAAAGCTAGGAAATGCACAATCTATAGGTAAAATAGCATACTTATCGTAGAACAGGTAAGTGAAGTAACTCAATTACACTTCCAAGAATCACCTTTGTTTTGCCTTTCTTCTCCAATTATTTATTTTCATACAGAGAGAAACATTGCTGAATAACCTACTTCACATCTCTCCTCTTTATATCTACACATCATGAAAGGGTTTTTCTTCTTTTACAAGATTTTTCAGCTTTTTTGTTTTAACTTTTTGTTTGCTACAAGCTCTTAAAATAGTGAGAATACTTGCATTTAGAGAAAAATATTATGATATCAATATAATTTTATTTCTTTATATTAATTTTTTATGGTATTTTGTTTACAACAACAAGGTTTCCTTCTCACTTACCTTGCATAACTAAATGACATGACTGCAGCATGTATTTCACCTGAGTGCCATACATATCTCACTCATGGCTCTCCTTTCCACACCACAGCTACACTTATATTTATCATGTTGAACACTATTCTGCAGTTAGATGATACGATGAATATAATTTTGCAACTACTGATGAAAAACTAACAGTATTAGCCTTGTGCCATGTTTTGTTCAAGCACTAAAATTTTTAGTAAAATCTGTGAAAATCAAAGAGCTGTTTCACACAATGTATGGTCTAATCTCTCTGCCTGCTTCTGTCAGAACCTCAGATCTCTTTTTATGCTCTTTCTTTTTCTGTAATAAAATCAGCCAAGGTCTTGTGAAGCAATAAACTATTTACCTGAAAGAGTGAGACACTCAAAGAAAGCACAGCCTCAGAAAGCTACTTCAAACACCACCCCCTTCTCATTCCTGCTCAAGAGTCTACAGTAAGACTAGATAATGAACTCATGAAAAAATGTAATCCGACGCCAGAGCTCATTGTCACCGGGAATGGGAGGTTCCACTCCTCATTTCTTTATCCCCATTACTACACTTGTCCTTCATCAGACCCTTCCATGAACTGTTTTAACTCAAGAGGCCAACACACTCAAAGAAGGAGACAACAGTCAATAGTTTTTCTGTGAGGTCAGCAAGTCACACAAGCTCATGGAAAAATCCAGCAAGCTACATCATCAGTGAAAGTAGGCAGCTGGTACTGGCTAGGGGAAAGGAACAAAGAGCCCAGTAAACAGACAGGAGGAGGAGGAGCAAGCCTTTCTCCCCACGAGCTCAGATGTTCACAAAGTCACAGCCTTAGACTAGATATCCAGATTTTAGACATTTAAAGTTAAGTGAAACAAATCCTATCTTAAACAACTATGCAACCCACTCATGAGAGATCAGATTTCCCATGAATATCAAGCGTATAAAAAAAATCCCTCCCCAATTATATATAATTTGAGAAATATTATATCTTACCTTGTATTACTTTAACAATCCATATTCTACTAATTCATCATCAGCAACTTGGAGTAGCCAAAGCAATCACCTCAAGAAAGATATACATATATATATATATGGAGGTAAAAACATCAATGAGAAACACGAAAACCTTCTTTACAGAAAATTTCATAACCTAGACATTGCTCAGATACGACTGTAGAGAATCCAGTGAAAAATAAACACTTAACACCTTGGCATACCAAAGTGAAGAACTTTTGGAGAACATCTGTATGACTTCTACATTACAGAACACATCAATCCCATGCAAACTACTATCACTCCCTCCGCAACACTGTTCAAGGTACAAATTTCAACAACAATTTATCATACATTATTTCAGTGTCCATCCCCATACATGGTACCACCCTCTCAGTTTCTGTCTTATTCTACAGAAAGATTACTTGTTAGGTGAAAAACAATGAAAAAGGTTGTCTCTTAACTCAGGGTTAAAATTTGTGCTTTAGCCACATACACTACCAAGTCAGACTCGGTAGTTTGACAGCAGCTTCACTGATCAAAGTGAAATGTTGTGAGTTACAGCTCGTAAATCTAGCTGTACTCAAGAGCAGCCAGTCTACACATGCTATGTATGTTTTCTACTGTTTTCTCATGAAAAGAAACCTTCAAATACAAATGAGAAACTTTTGGTCACTATAATCTCATTCAAAGTTCTAGTCGGGCACAGAGACAGCTGCTTTTTGCAAATAGTTCAATAGTCCACAACCAAAACTCTTCTGAAAAATCAGTTCCCTTTCATATTGGCTTAAAAATCGAGATGTGCAGGCAGGGCACAGGTTCCATGTTAGTGTATGTATACCACTCCTCCTGTAGGCAGAAACATGATTATATACACCCTACAGTATGTGGATGAAGATCGTGTGAGAGGCCAAGTGAGTCGCTTAAGTCACCATGATCTTTTTACTGGTAATTTTCCGGACTCATGGACATAGCAGCTCGGCCAGAGGTACAACGGTAACAGGGGTGCCACACACCAGGAAAAATAATCATTACTCTCCAGCCGCCCGTGGCTGAGGATCGCTGGTGGAAACGAAAGTAGGCAAACGCAAAGACTGGAAAGCCTGGCAGCGACCGGGCTCTGAACTATGCTCCGGGCTTGCGCCGGGCGACTCCGAACCTCCCGGCCCACGGCCAGCCCGCAGAGGCCGCAGCAGGCTGCTCCCAGCAGCCGGAACAGCAGGCACAGGCGAGGGCGCTCTGGGACGGGCTGGGATCGGCTCCGGCTGCGCCGCGACCAACGGCCGGGGAGGAGCACGGGGCCGGGGCAGAGGCCGAAGGGCCTCCCTTCGCCGCGAGGGAAAGCTCCGGGCACGTAGAAGGGCCTCGGTCAGCCCGGCGCACCCTCACAGCCCGGCCTCACTCCCACAGCCCGGTCGCCTTCTCACAGCCGAGCTCCACTCCCACAGCCCGGTTCCCCGTTCACAGCCCGGCCGCCCTCTCACACCCCGGTCCCCCGTTCACTTCCCGGGCCGTCCCCCCGCCCAAGTCACACGCCGACTCCTCCGGCGATGCCCCCGACCCCCCTCACACCCCGCCGGGTGGGGCCGCTGCCGGCCCGAGCGATTTAAAAATGGCGCCTCTCACCTCCCGCCCGCGCCGTCGCCCTCCGGGGGCCCGCGGGGCGCGGGGCACCCTGGGAGCGTTGCCGGGGAGACGGGTCATGGCGGGCTGGGCCCTCACAGCGCGGGGAGTGCTGAGGCGCTCCGCGGGCGCTGGTTTCTGTCAGAAAGCGGCTGCTACGAGCGGCTGAAATACTCTAAACACGATCTGCTCGTAGACATCCTCAATTTCGCTCTAAAGTCTGTGCGAAGCAGGAGGTTGAACGTCCAGATCGGTGTTGACGTTCCCCTGATAAAGTTAACAATGCTTTAATAAGAATTAAAATTGCTTTCAATTAGTATATTGGAAGGTGGGTATTGCTGATGACACACACACATCCCCAAGGAAGAAGTGGGGGAAAAAACCCCAAAACAACCAACCCCCAAATGTCATGTTTGCCAGCAATTGGAGATTACAGCTGCAGTCAGCTCCCCCAGGGGTGGTTGTAAGCTCCGTTAATAAAATGCCTAAAACACATTACAGTCACTTCCACAGCTACAATGGGAAGAGTTCAGTGCTTGCTTCACTGTCAGCCTGACTGTGCAGACTGATGTCACTGTGCCATTTCATGTGTATATTGTGTTTGTTGCCATGTTGGAGACGAAATAACAGCAGTGTTCTATCTATACCAATGTACCCCTACAATGAAATAAATAGCACTACAGAAAACTACAATTAAGTAAAATTTAATTTTTATTAAGAACATATTTTGTTGTAAACGATGAAAAGTCATACTTCTAAATTCTAAGCTTTACAATGCAAAAAAATCTTTCTAAAAAGTATTATGAAGTCTCATTCTCATTTTCTGTATTCAGTTTGCTCATTTTATTTTTCTTTCACTATCAGCTCTACAAATATTAATGCTAACTAAGGTAAAATAGTAAAATAGAAATCTTTCTCCCATGTACAGCTGCATCAGCGGGAGTGGTAAATTGCATAGATTCTTTCTTTGGTTCTATTAGTGTTTGTTCATATCAGAATTATATAGCTGTGATCTATTGGAAAACAATTAATTTACATGAGAAACATGCTAAGTCACTCACTGTGAACTCTGCGGACATAGCAAAAAAATTACAAAATCTAAAATCAACAGACAGGGTTGGGTGTCTCTTGCCAGCTAATTTATGGAACAATTATTGTGTAAATATTTCCAATCTGGAATCTTTTGCTAAGAGGATGGCTCAAGATGGTGGAAATATGGTTACTTTATTTTTGCCTCCATGTTTTTTTACACTGATCAGAAAAGGGTACTTGTTTCCTTCCAAGACCCACTGAGTCAGGTAATTCTAGTTACTCACCCAATAGCCATCAATCTTGAAGTGCAGGTGGTAATGATGCTCTTCATTGTCACAGTGGCCATCTCTCTCCATGTCTCATAGCAGTGTGAGCAGCAGTGCTGAAAACCTGCTCCTACCTCTGCTTGCTTTAAAAGTAGAGCTGCTGTAGTGAGTCAGATGGGCTTGACCTGGGAATCTTGCAGAGTATAAGGAAAGAGAGAAAAAAAGGAAGAGTCAAGTTCAAGGGCACAAGGAGGAAAAAACTGAAGGAAGGAGGAATAGAAAGCAGGGTTTATAGGAATGGGAGTGGGGCTTATGGACATAGCAGAGAGAGAAGAGGCCAAAAGATAATCAAGAGGGGAACCTCAAACATCTCTCACAATACAGAGGAGTTTTTTGTAAAAATAGAAATTAATGCAACTACAGATCTCAGTAATTTATTTTTTAAAAAGAGTAAGGTCTCTTTAAGGAATACTTTAATTCTGGCTCAAGTAAAAGTAAAGAGATTTCATTTAGAGACCTCACAATTTTTGATCAACAGTATTAAAGATTGTGTCTCTTTAAATGTCACATTCTATTACCTCTGGGTAGACCAACATTTCATAGAGCAGCAAGGTTCATCCTCACACCAAGAAAAGCAATATATAAAGAGATGTAAAGTATGTATAGAAGCCCAGGAAAATATTTCAATGCATTTTGCAGATACACTCTTTGGAGGAAGATGCTGTGTAAGCATGGTCAGAAAAAGTCTTGAGTTTGAAAGCTCATTCAGACTTCCTTGCTGCCTCAGTTGAGCAAGCTGAAAATAGTTGCTAGATTAGATAAATCCTCAAGGTCCTGTAGCCCAGTGGCATATCTTCAGAGAAGGTTTTGTTATGTATACATGCTGCTGGTTGTACCTGCAGTTTAATCCGTGCTTAGTGTATGTCACCTTGACCTGAATCCAACCTGAAGGATAGAGGCTAAGTGGGGAATTAATGTTGGGACTACAAGCTCAGTTCAGCACATGAGTCAGCACAGCCTGAAAGCATCCAAATAGTTTTATTGTCCCATACAATTGTGGCAGAGATGTCTGTGGCTAAGTAGTGTGCTATTTGTGATAGACAGTTAAAACCATACGTTGTTTTGTGTAAATTGCCTGAGAAAATTAATACTTTTTGCATCCCAAAGTCAAAAGATGGAATTGCTTTTACATGCCATAGTGCTGTGGTGAGAGTCTTCCCCAGTTAGAGGGCTTTTTACGGTTAAGCTCAGTAGGGTCAGAATGCAATTTTTAGCGCAAAGAACATCAGTAGATAAAAAAGCGTAAGGCAGTTTACAAAGCCATTATTCAGACAAATATGTCGTATGGGACTGCTGACCACACAGGCATTGTGTTCCCTACTTTTCTCTTCAGCATGTACATACAGTATTTCATGCTGATCTTCTGTGTCTTTCCTTTTTCATCATGGGTCTGTGATGTCAAACTATGACACTAGGGCGGGGGAAAGGATGTTTCTCTGACAAGTACCAACTCATTAAAATGGTATTCGACAGAAAAATATATAGAGAATTTATTGGGCTACAAGGATATTTCATATCACATAAATATCACATATCATAAATATCACAAGGATATTTATATATATTGTTCTCATATATGAGTCTTCAGTCCTGACTGTGCTTTCATTTCCATTAAATTGATTCCATTCTAGCCACACCAACTAAAGAGTTTTTCCAAATTTACACACACAGAGGTGGGTAGAACCACACACTCACCAACTGAAGGGTTAACATGGTGAAATGCAAGTTCAATTCCTAAAGTTTCTGTCAAAAGCATGTTGGTGCTTCTTTCAGCAGCTCAGCAGTGTCCAGCTTTAAGCTTGTCCTAAGACAGGGTATCAGAGAATCATAGAATATGCTGAGTTGAAAAGGACCCATCAGGATCATGGAGTCCAATTCCTGGCTCAGAGCAGGATACTCCAGGAATCATGTCATGTGTTGTCCAAACACTTGAACTTTGTCAGGCTTGATGCTGTGACTACTTCATGGGCAGGTCTGTTCAAAGGCTCAACCACCCTCTGGGTGAAAAACCTTTTCCTGATACCTAACTCCCCCGACTCAGCTTCATGCCATTTCCTCGAGTCCTGTCACCAGTCACCAGAGTGAAGAGATCAGAACGTGGCCTCTGCTTCCCCTTCTGAGGATTTTGAAGACACAGTGAGGTCTCCCATCAGTCTCTTCTACGCTGAACAAATCAAGTGACTTTAGCCACTTCTCATAAGGCTTCTCCTCCAGACCTCTCACCATCCTGATGGCCCTCCTCTGGATGCACTCTAATTGCTTAATGTCTTTTTTATATTGTGGTGCCCAAAACTGCATGTAATATTCAATATGAGAGGCCGCACCACTGCAGAACAGAGCAGGACAATCACCTCCCTTGACCAGCTGGCAATGCTGTGCTTAACATGGTACAGGACAGAGTTGGCCCTCCTGGCTGTCAGGGCACTGCTGACTCATATTCAAGTCGCCATCAACCAGGACCCCCAGGTCCCCTTCTGCAGCACTGCTTTCCAGCCTCTCATTCCCCAGTCTATACACATAACCAGGGTTGCCCCATCCCAAGTGCAGAATGTGGCACTTACCCTCATTGAACTTCACCTGGTTGGTGATTGCCCAGTCCTCTAATTTGCTGAGGTGTCTCTGCAGGGTCTCTCTGACCTCGAGGGAGTGAACAGCTCCTTCCAGTTTAGTGTCATCAGCAAAGTTACTTAGCATCCCTTCCAGTCCCACCTCCAAGTTGTTAAGAAAGATGTTAAAGAGAACTATGCCAAGGATGGAACCTTGTGGAACCCCATTAGTGACTGGACACCAGCCTCTCCAGTAGTTTAGCCTCTCTGCTTTACTTCTGTCTGAATCTGGTAAGCTGCACATAAAAGGTGACATAGCATTGATCCACTAGGCAAGCCCACAAAACTAAAGAGTTGTCACCTAAGTCCATAGTCCAAATAGGAATTGAGGAGGACACCGCACAGAAATTTCTCCTTTCAACTACTTTGATGCAGTGCTAGTTGCCATGGGAGGCAGAACCTGCTGTTTTACTGCTGTACCTTCCACAGCAGCACAGAGAAATAAGCACACGTGCATTCAGGAATCATTTATCACTAAGTTTATAAACTGTAGTGCCTGAACCAGCTAGTTCAAAGTCGGTTTGGGTGTTGCAAAACAAGTCACGGCATAATAGCAGATGAAGTCTTTGGTTGTTGGAGTTATTTGGGGCACAACATGAAGTATTTTCAGAGTACACTGCTGGTAAGGCTTATTTGTCTCATCCAGTGATTGCTAACACTGTGCAGTGACCACTTCTTGGCAACACTCCTCTTTCTGTGCTAAGTTAAACAGCACTGTTCTGTTTTACCCTCTGCCTTTCTATTTTTGGGTGCTAAAAGAGTTACCAGGGTGTGTTATGCACACTCCAAAGCCAGAGTTTTGAACAACTCAGAGAACTGATGATAAGTGAGGTGCATTTTTTATGTCTGGTTTGCCAGTATTAGCAGGGATTATTCAGCCCATGCCAGAAGTGGGCAAAAAGCTATTAGTGGTTGTGAGGGACCCTGGTGTTTGTGAATGGAGTTAGCCTTAACATAGAATGAATTCCAGGCACCCATGTAAAACCCAGCATCACGAGACCTTGGAAAGCCTGCAGGTGACATGGGAGTGCCTGTACACCATTTCTTCAAATAGGAGAAAACAGGAAGTACTGTGGGACTGCAAAGTTACTGTTAATGGCACAGTTTCTGCTCTGTTCTTGGAATTAAAATAACATCATTCCCAATGGCTGCCAGTGCCAGCTGATGAGATCCCTACTTTATGAAAAATAAATGCAAATGTTTTGCTTTATGTTAGCTATGTTAAGTTGCATTTTTGGCACTTGCGACCAAGATTTCTGACAATAACATAAAAATACATCTTGGGTTTCTAATTCAGTTTAAAAAAAAAATAATCCAAAGTGAGTGCAACTGTTTGGCACAACAGCGTGACATTTGCATAGCATGTTCACACAAGCTCTGGAGAAAAGTAATGATGATACCTAATTCAGTTTTGCTATGTCACAGCTGTAAATGAAACTCAAATTACCAGGTTTTGGTCAAAACTGCAGGAGAGCAGAATGCTCAGTTTAATAATTTTAAAACTAGGCCTTGTGTTTAATGGATTAGCTTTGCCACTGTCAATAGAATAATTTGTTACTGAGAAAGGAAAACTGATAGGGGCTTGAGTGTTCAGACAGTAAGTTCAAGAGATGATATTCATAATCAAATAAATGTAAATATTTTTATTTTAAAAAATGTTAATGGCACCTTAGAGGCAGTCATGACTACACAACCAAATATACAAAAATTACATTTTTGTAATTGCATCTTTCCACAGTACTGCACAAAATGGAAATAATATGAGAAACGTTGCAGGTGACACACTGAGACAATTAATTTTAGTCAATAAAAGCAGACAGTTTTTGGTACACCTTGATACTACCAGACCCAGATTCCCTGGGTAAAAAGGAAAGGTGGCTTTGTGCAAAACTTCCCAACAACAGTACAACTTAATATGCTAAACATACAGCAAATCAACCGTACAAGACAGTTTGACTAGGCCTCATGCAGTCTTTATATACAGCATCATCTCGGCTTTTTCAGGGAAAATAAGCAATTCCACTGACTAAAACAAAACTTTTCTTGGTCTTTCACTGTTGTAATGTAAAATTGTCTGATTCTTTGTGCAGGATTCTACTTAGGATCAGAGAGACCATTCCAACTTTATCTGAAAACAAGTCCTTTATAATCTCTTGTACTTTAAAGGGAAGCAATATAATTAATTAAGGCCATGTTCTGGCATGATGGTAAATGAAGAAAGCAGATAAATATTTGCTTGATTAAAAAAATAGAGAATAAATTTGCCTGATTGCTAGTCCTAGATGGACTTTTGGAAGTGATTAAATTTTGTTATCTAAATTAAAGTGTTTAATTACAATAATCTGTGTTTACCTTCTGTCGTACCATTGAATATGGAAGTAAAATGTCTTTATCATATTGGAAAGGGACTCGGTTTCCCAAAATAAAAAGAAAAGCAAATAAAAAAAAGTTGGTTTTCATACCACCTAAATGAACCTCAAGGTTCTGTGTTGGTTGTTTTTTTTCCCACATTTCTTCTTAATTGATTTTGATTCCAGAAAGCACTACCTGTGATTATGTAGTTAATATTGTATCAAACATAAGCCTGAGTTGATACCTTTTTGAACAGCTGCATTCAACTTTAAGTGTTAGAGTACTTGTTTATTATGTTGTTCAGTAGCTAATAATTAGTTTGTAACCCTTATGATTACAAAACTGAAGCTTATGCTTACAGTGGATTTGTCTAGCTTCAGTTCTAGTCAGTGTATCATGTATCTTTCCTACAGCAAATTGTATTCACCTATTGAATTTCTATTCCCCAGATAAGCAGTTATGATTTGTTCAAAGAAAACCACTGGCTTTTAAATATCCTTCATGGACAGCAGATATCGGATCTATATGTGATGGTCCTGCAGCAGAGGCACTGCATAACACAAGCATTTTAATATTAAACTAAAATGCAGTGAGATTTTATAGTGGCTCTATAAGAATTCAGAACAAGTAGATATCATATCACAGGAGTGCAATAAAATGAGAAGTTGCATGAATGCATATAATGTAAAGCAGAACGGCGAAGAAATTTAAACTGAGTCTCATTCAGTCCCACCAATCACTAATTGGACATTCAACAGTAACAGAGCTGAAGCTAGTTGAAGCTAGCAGAGGGATCCATTCAACAAGTTTTAGAGAAAGCCTCATTTAGTGCTGAAAGCTGAAGTGGGAGAAATCAGGAAAATTGTGCTAACTTTCCTAAGAAATTAATCTCCAGAACCCTCTGAACAAAAAGCTGCCAACAGCCTACTGAACAGTATGAACAACTAATTGAGGGGCTTTTCCATCAGAGAACTACTGTCAAAGTGAAGTGAAATAATTGACTACCAGGCAGCACCAAGCAAAAAAGACACTACCTGGCAACTTTTTGTTGAGTAGGAGTATTTTAGAGGCTCATGATGAGCAGGTGTAAGAAATATCCTAAGAATGTCTAATGTGTTGTATGAGAACATAAAAGCAAACTGTATCCTGACAGAACATGGTTAATTCCTTGAGAAGCTGAACAGAGTTCTCCTTAAGAGGTCTTGCAATTCTCTGGGTTGGCCTACTCATACTTTCATGGTAAGCAGAGCTCTGACTGCAGGCCAGATATGTACATTCACATAATCCCAGTCTAGAGAGAGGAAGTGATCCCAGTACCGAAGATAATGGCACAGGCACCAGTCTGCTCTTGATCCTGCTCTTGATCTAACAGCTTGCTAGCCTGTCCCACCACATCCTGGTAGTGTTTGTATCTGTTCCCTGTAGGAAAATGCTAGGAAGAACTTTTCTACACTGAAGCTGCCCGGTTTTATGGGCAGCTAATGATTCACTGCAGCAAGAAAGAAAAAGCCTCATCTCCCTTTTTGTCCTTGCTTCATACTCATGAGATCTTTCTACCAGCCCTTTAATATCTAGATGTGCAGAACCATACATCTCTTACGCCAAGGTTTTCTTCCAGTCTAGTGAACTAACATGGCATATGGAAGACTTCACCACACACCAGTGTTAGCACAAGGTAGGAAATGGAGGGGTGATGGCAGAAGGGGAGACTCCTCTCCCCTTGGGTGGCTTCCACTTGGCAGGGTTCCTGGCACTGCAGCCTTACTCTGTGCAAAACTATAGCAGTTTCACTCAAAAGCAAGCTTTTGCCCTTCACTATTTTATTATTTACTTGATGTGTGCCACATCCTCCAGTGATTTAAATCCAGCAGAGAAAATAGAGAATTGATGTGCCCATTCACCAGTTAGAGTTGTTTTAATTTGCATAACTAATATTATGCAGTTTTTTTATCTTTTTCTGTGTCCTCTGCCAGATGTAAAGTTAATATGGAAATGCAAGATCTTCCTGTTTCCAATTTGAACACAGATTCTATCAAGATAGTGACCAATCTTTTGTAGAGCCATTGATTTTACATTCTACCCTCATTTTGCACTGAGGCTGTCTTCCAGAATTGCAATAGGATGCCCTTGGAGCAGAGGCCTTCATGGTCCCAGGTTGTACAATACCAGCTTCCCTTGTTACAAGAAAAATACACCTGACCTTGAGACTACCTGATGTAACACTTAACTACATAAACTAGCACTGGGAGGATTATCTCTTTAAACATATAATCATGCAACAGGCAAAGGAGATTTTCTTACATACACATTATTAACAGGTGGCATTCCTTTCTTGCACATCTAACCTTCTGAACTCATTTAACAAAACGCTAAACAAACTGTTTTCTCAAGAGACCAAAACAGAAGGTAGCTTTGCAAGCTGAATATAAGAATGAAGATTATAATAAAGATGGCAAGAAAACACCATGAAGCATCACAGCATTCTTAGGATCAGAACTAGGATTCTTTTTGTTTGGTTTTGGTAATGGATGTATAATCATGTGACTAGGGAAATGAGGGAGTGGGAGAGTCATAGGGCTGATTAGTAAAATGGGTGGTGGAGTTTAGGAAAAGACTTCAGAAAGGAAAGGGCTCTGAATAAAACTACATTCATTAGCTAAAGAAATGGGGAAAAAAAAGGAAAAAAACCCATTATATCATTATATGCCTTTTCAAAATGAAGATAGGACCACAATGTAAGAAAGCCATGGAAAAAACCAAGAGGATCTGAGAAAACATCAAAAGGAAACAAAAACCCACCAAGGAAAACCTTTATTGTGATGTAAAAGTCAGGCAAAAGCTGCTGCTTTTTTAATTTTTCTAACATTGTGGAAGGGACTTTCCTGGGAAGATAAGTTTATGAGTTGCCTCAGTGGAAGCAGTGCCCTCAGTCTATCTGCTGGCTGTAAAAGGAGGCCAAGTACAGCTGCTTGGAAGGTGGGGGTGAATGCCTGTTGCAATGCACGCAATACAGTGACAAAATGGGTTAAGAGACATGGGAAGGTCTCCCTGAACTGAACAGCAGCAGGAGCACATGTAGCAAGGAAGGCAGAAAAGTTTTCTGCATAGCACAATACATCTTTCCTTCTTCAGGGGATACCAGGAATACAGGAGTAAAGAGAAAAAAAAATGAAAAGAATAATGTATCTATATAATCATTTTTCCTGACACAGTCAGGGATAAACCAATCGGCAAGTCTGGGCTCTTAAAAGTCATATTTCTCTCAGCAGGACTTTTGCTTCCACTCCACCATGCTCTGAGACGAGGTGGGGCTGGGTTAGGATAACATGGGTGTGCCTGACCTGATCCAGTTCCGGCGCCTGCAAACCAGCACAGTCCTTCCTGAATTCTCTGTTCGAAGATGTAGTACATATAAAGAATTCTTTAAAAATTTTTTAAGTGTTTTAATTGAATTTTCTAATTGCTGAGTCATATTATTATTTATGAAGTTAATTCTGTCCTTTCTTCAGTTCCTGAAACCACAAAAAGTAACTATTCACTGTTAATCCAATCATGGTAAAATGTCAAAGTTCTTCCCCTGCCTCTCCCTCCCCCACTCCCTTTCCTCAGAATAAGGTCCTCACAACTTCTACAGCAAATATTGCACTTGATTAAAAACAAATACACACACCAAGCCTCTCCCTCCCTCCTGTAATACCAGCATAGAAAATACTGCAACTGAAAAGAAAATCTGTCATGACAATTATTTTCACAGGTAGTAACACTGAACATCAAATAACTGGAGACACTATCTTTTCATTTAATGGAGAGTGGAGAAGAATTGTCGTTGTGGTGGTTTGTTTTGTGGTGGTTTTTGTTTGTTTGTTTTTAATAAAGATCTTGTTTTACATCGTGGCTGAAAGCCAAGCAGATTTCAGGGAAATTTTTTTGCAGTTCTTAAATCAAGCAAAATAAATTCCAGTGAGAAAACAAACCCAACCCTGTCTCCTAGTAGTAGTACTGCATGTTAATACATTATTTTCAGGAATGTTTGTCAAGAGAGTCTGCAGTTTGTATATTTACAGAAGTTTAACTCCCTGCTCCCCTAAGAAGCGTTTCATTCAGGTTTCTGCCACATTCTTTAATCTGACACAAGAAAGAAATCCACTGTACCCAGAGTCACCTATATGCTTTGCATCAAGTCAGAACACCCCAGCAATTCAGTGCTAACAAAGGCTAACCTCAGTGATGCCTTTCTGTGTACTTCTTTCCCCCTGCAGGTTACAAGGGTTGAAGCAAGTGCACTGGTCTGGATAACAACTACCAGCTACTTGCTTCTTTACTCCTTTACAAAGTGGTCTGGAGATCTTATCATTCCATTCAGTCCATCTTTGGAAGTCTTATGCCACATGTATGTGTTTCCCAAATGTGATAAGGAACAGTGCCAGAATGAACAACTGCTAACTGTGGTCAATAGTCATCATTGGTCTAATTTACAAACAATAAACTCTGTGCAAAAAGTTACTAGCAGAAGCATCGAGTTTCATTGGTCCTGAAAACTAGAAACTCCATATACAGATACTCATTAATTTAGAATCAAGAACTAGTAATACATATGACAGCACAATTTGGCTTGTTACTCCAGTTGGATTCAGAGAGAAATTAATTTATGAGTCTAACAGGGCCGATACACATTATGGGACTCCCTCCTGTCACACTCTTTGCACTCCAGCCTAGTAAAAAGCACAGCTGACACTTGCAGTTGCTGGGATTCCTCCCAGACCATCATACCATCTTTTGTGGGTGTGGGTTTGTAAAGTGGACAACATTTTGTATTAAGGCAGAAGACTGACTTAAGTGAGCAGTTCATCACAGACATAGCCAGTTAGACAAAATCAGATTGAACAACTGACTGCCAACGAATATGCTTTTATGCATTTACACCAGAATTTGTATACACACAGTGCTTAAAAAACAGGGAGGGGAAGAAAATGAAAAAAAAAAAAAAAAGAAAAAAGAAAAAAAAAAGTCCAACGGCTTCATCTTGGTATAATCATCCTTTCTATGGCACAAATTATATGATCCCAGTTTTTACAAAATATTGCCAGCAGCGTCACTGCGAAAAAAGTGCAGATGATATGAAAGCGGCTCTTCATCATAGGAGCAATGAACTTTGCAATAGTAGAAACACACACTAAGATGACAGTCATGAAGGCCAGGATAACATTTATACATTTCCCCAGGAGCACTTTGGCATTAACTGTTTCAGACTGCTGTGCTTGCTGTTCCTGCTGATGGAGCTCCAGTTTGGACACCCGGGTCTGGCATGATTCCAAGGCTTCCTGGAGACAGAAAACAAGAATTAGGGCAGCTGTACTTCCATTCAACACTTTTTCATGTTTTAGCTGCTGAGCCATCCATCAGCTAGATTAGATGTGTAATTTATTATACACTGCTGAAATTTCAGTGAACCACGAACTTCTTTAAAAAAGTGCACATGTATATCTACATGAATGTATCACTGCCTGCTCAGGCATAATCAAGTCTAACAACACTGGTCACAGTGTAGTTTTTACCTTTTTCATGCTTGAGAAAAAGCATCATAACTCTAATGTTCATGACAGATGTTTGCTGTATATACTGATGAGATAAAGTACTGAGAAAGCTGTTGCCATAGCAACTATCACTGCGTTAGAACAGCAACAAAATTGGTTTCTTTCTATATACTATAGAAAACATTAGGGTGGGCTTGCTGCAATACTAATTAAATCTACTTTGCAACATGTAGTATTTGTTTTACATAACCTCTATGGTCTACATTTTTTTTCTCTCAAAGCCACCTGTTGCACAATGTGGGCTTGAGTCCTCTGTAAGATCTGGCCTTCTCCCTCTATCAGTGTGAAGGCTCATTGATCCATACCCCAAATGGGCAGGGGAGACAGTGGAGAAACCTGCAGTGGTGCTTTTATGGGATTCTCTTTCATATGATCTATTCCTCTTTACAATTTGTTCCAAAGGGAGCAGACCTTTCTCTTCTTCTTGAGGATGGACTAAAAGCAATCTTTGAGTAAAATGCTTTCTAAGGCACTAACCCCACACTTAAGCCCTCCCAAAGTGAAACATAGAAAAATTTCCAACTGCTTCACTTATTTGCCAAAATGCACTTCTTGCTGGAGTTGGGATTTGGGCACCAATAGTGGTAACATGGTGGAAGGCTATAATTTAATGAGATTGATCAATGTGACATAACCTTTTACCACTGCATAAAAGGGAAAACTGATGTTCCAGCATCCCTACTTCCTTCCCCACTCTCAAACTCCAAACATTTTCCTTGCACTGGCGGGGGCATTCACCTGATCACACAGTAAGCTGTTTCAACCCAAACCTCTGTGTATTAACTCTGTCTTGCTGGGTCAGTTCTCTTATTTTAGCAAGTTGAACTGGCTTACCATGAGATCAGCCAGGCACCAAGGTCATTGCAGAGCACACAGCACAGTGTGTTACACAAAACTGGTTTCTTTCACTGTTCTAGGAATTAGTTATATATACATATATATATATATAAGACAATTCTTAATGGGTGGCACAAAGTCCCTTATGGTTCATGCATGCTCTCCACTACACACTAAAGACCTTTCCTGGTACTTATTCCACTCTGACTGTAAGTTATTCTCAAATCTTGTGCTGCTTTAGAGAAAGTCTAGCTGCAAAAGTCTGGTACCTGCAGCTCTGCATTGAGAGGCTGAGCATGTCTTTAGAAACGATCTGCACATCCTTTAGCGACAGAGTTAAGTTGTTACTCAAAATATCCAGAGCTTAAATGCCTTCTCTCTATTTTAGCTTATCTGCCAACCCCCCCAAAGAGGCAGGTTTAAACAGGCTCAGCTGTATAGAGATAAAAGAAACAAGGTTGTATCAATGTAGCACTTCGATTAGTTTTAAAAGTCTCTGACATCCCCCCCAGGATTCTGCTAACAAGTTAGCGATTAGCTCATAGTCCTTCTGCTGGACAGCTCAGGTCTCATGTTTTTACATCCTCAAGATACCTTTACAGAAAGGAGTTCTCTTTTCTTTAAATCTATCAGATCTCTCTCTTCTTTAAACCTACAAAGGAACCTATGATGCACTTAGATTTAGTACATCCTTTCCCATTCTGTTCCCAGGAGCTTCCTGACTCTCACACCAGTTAGGAAACTGTGATCATCCTCCTGCCTGCAGGCTCTGTGTTTAGAAATGTGAGCACAGGGTTACAGGACAGGTTTTAGCTTCTTTTACCATCTGAGGCAATATGAAGACAGTCTTTGAGCATTCCTCATTTGTTCACGAATAGGTAAAGCATAACAACGTTTTCACCATTTTTCACCACTTGCTCAGGCTTTAAGTAGAAATATTATGCATTATATAAGTGATTATATTGTATATAAATATTCAAGTATGTAGCTACATGCCATCAGGACACACTTGTAGACATTATTACTGGCTTTTGATTGAAGCCAGACATAACTACAACTGATCACTAAGGTGAACACATTCTACAGTTTTAATCATAGAGGTTGTTGTGACCATGGCTTAAAACTCTTAAATTATAACTGGCAAATCTACAAGTCTATTTATCAATTAGCTCTCTTACTTTTTACCTGAAGCTCAATTTACAATAAACCTTGCCAGTGATGAGACTACTTACTGGAGAAAGTCTGAACAAGAAGTTTGTGTTAGGACATTGTCAAAGGTGGCATTTTACACAATACGAGGAGACTTAATTCCTTCCTCCTCTAGCGCAAGAAATTAAAACAGACCATTCTTCAACCACAAGTCTGCCCAGCCTACATCATCAATTCCAGTAGAAAAAATTCTGAATCCAGTAAAACAAATGAAGACTCACATTGATTTAATATGCTGGGGTTTCACTTTAAAACAGACAAAACATGGGCTTAAATCTTTCCCCAGACTCCTTATTTACAAAGCTGCAGAAAGATGTGAGTGTTCCATGGTACAAGATTTCCACCAAATATTAGAAGTCTATGGTAAGGAAAAACGTACCTGAACATCTCGTGATCGCTCATATGCCTGATACGCCACTTTCTCCTCTATGCTGGCTAGCTCTTGTTTCAAGTTTGCTGTCTCATGTTGATGAAGATCAGTGAGGTCATTTAACTGGTCCTCCAATCTTTCGTATCTTATTAGGAAAAGAGGTCTAAATTTAGTGCCTTCTATTCAAGAAATGCTAAATCATGAACACAATTACACATTTTAAAAGATAGTTTTTCAGTGTACTATGAATTCATAGGACTGGCATTACAAAGCACATAAAGGAAATCAGTAAAAACTTTGCAAACTCTCCGTAAGCATTTATTCAGCAAGCTGAAAGTCTTTTTTCAGTGTTTCTTGCTGGCAGTGGGTGTTAAGAAGCAAATATCTGTACGTCATGGGAAAATTACATGAACTATAAACACTGCCTAAGGATCTCCAACTCACATTTTTCTGTTTTTCACTCTTCATTTAGACAAGAAGATATGGTTTCATAAGTAAGTTTGAGCTAGCTAACTAGCTAACCAGTAATGACAAGAAAAGTATGTTCTCTCTCAAACACAACTGCGAGGTCCTGCCATTTGTGTACAGCCTGTTCTGGCATGCCTCTGCACAGCAAACCAGTTCAACTAAATCATCAGGAAACTAGAAATTTTTTTTGGTGAGTTTGTCATTTGATTTAACACACAAACAGGCAAACACTGCAGTCAGCACAAAAATGATGGAGGCAAAATTGTCACGCTGTGGAAATGGGTGGTAGGAGGCTTGAGATCTTAATGGCAGTGAGCTGTCAGAAAAGGCCACTGTCTTCCCCTCAAACCAAGTCCTGAGTTCAGTAGGCCATTTGTATTGTTCTTTCATCCCCTATGTTATCATGTGATATCAAGCCTTTCCTTGTATTTCAAGAACTGTAAACAAGGGAAACATTAAATATTGCATTTTATACTGAGTTTTTCCCCACTAGCATAGTAAAGACTTCAAGAATCGACTGTCACAAGTGATATGACAAACAGGATATAGGTACAGCAGGTGTAAGTCCTCTGTAGAACATATCTTCTCAGAGTAGATGATAAAGTAATAAATTGCCAAGTAACAAATGCAAAAGGAAGTTGTGCTAGAGTACTTAAAATTACATCTCACAGCTGTTTATTACACCAGGCTACAAGGTGACATTGCATCCACAAGATAGCAATGTGTGTGAGAAGTATTTGGACAAGGTACTCAGGAATCAAGGGTATACTTATCAGCTCTAAGTCAGTTCTGCTATACCATAGACTGATTAGCTTTTTTGAGTCACAACAGATGAGAATCATTCCACTGGTTACAAAACAATTGGCAGTGAATACTCCTATCTCCAGTACTCACATAATTCACAGTATGACAGAGGACAGAGTTTTCCTTTGACAAAAAACAAAGGACTACTACATAATTTGATAGGAAATACTAATGTTTTAGTCACTGGAATGAGTGGAACATGTTGGTACCAGATATTGATTGGAATTATTTTTTCCTCTTGCTTCTGAAATATTTCCCTCCCCCGCCCCTTTCCAAATAGCTCCTATACCGGTTCAAAAGTAATTTCAAGAGAACAGTTAAATAAAAATACCTAAATCTTTCCTCTTGTAACATCTGAGAAATAAAGCCATAGTCTCTTTTAAATTGTGTTTTTAAATTCTCAATATCATCAGCTAATTGGGACTGAGTCTCCTTGATTTCCCTTAGTTCCTCCAAAATCATGGAAAGCTTTCCTTGGCTGTCCAGGGTACTTGCCACAGCAGGACTAAAAGAAGCATTTCCATTACTATCTGCTGATCCAGAGGTCCCACTTGAGCATTCATCATCACTAACATATTTTGGTTTGGCAACAATGGTGGCACTGCCCCCATATGTTCTGGAACTCGTTTCTGGCCGAAATTCATCCAGGGTATTTTTGAGATGAGCAATGTTGTCTGCACTCCCAAATTTGTTTCGGATCAGGTTGGCAAACTCTCTAGACTTGCTGAAAACAAAGACAGGTGGTGTCAAAGATACACCTGGCACACCCGACTTGCTGCTCTCTGTTCCATGCCCAGTGGTACGAGACTTTCCATGTTGAATATCTTTCAAGTTATCTTTGGAAGTATCCTTGGTAGCTTTGGAAGATCCATTTTGTTCAATATCCTTGAGCTTTTTGTGATACTGTTCCAATTTCTTCTGCAGCTGGGCAATGGAGTGGGCAGATTTCTGATTCTTTTTCTCAAAGACCTGTTTAATGCGCCCGGCCTGTTGCTTGTCTGCACTGTTTACCAGTTTCAAATACTCAGCCACGTTTCCATCTCGAGCTGTTTGTTCAACCTTGATTTGCTCTGTAACCTTGAGAATTTTCTGTTTCAAGCTATCTGCACTGAGTTTGACTTTGTGAAACTCTAGGACACCATCTGGTACATCAAAGTTCAGGTTGGTATCAGAACCTCCACGGCGAATGTTAAGCGGTAAACTCAGGGTATTCATGTCATGTCTTTCCACCTGAGAGAAAAGAGATAAATGGAATTTGAATTCTATTTTTTAAAATCAAACTTCCAATTTCTTTTTCTGCGTGTAATTATACCAAGTACACAATATAAAGTAGTTTACAGTAGCAAAAGAGAATACACTTTTCTTGAAATTAAGCAGCATTTTTCTTGACTTCCATAGGTTAATAAGCAGCCCAAGGAACTGCTTGTTTCTCTTAAAATAGAGGCAAGATGAATTAGAGAGAAAATTATTCAAGTTTGCAGCTTTTCAGAATCATTCATAGTTTTCTAGAAAATGAGAATAACACCTAGTTAGAAAAGGTTCTTAAATATATTTTATTATTAAGAGTTTCAAAGAGATCATGACTGATAATCACTCTGTTTTTTCTCTTAGAAATGGTCAAACACCAATGGAGATGTAAGCAGATTTTTCCCCTCTACAACAGCTCTATACTGTTCAGCACATTTTCCTGGGTTAAATGCCTTTTTTGATACGTCCCATTCAAATTCCTCCCACAATTTAAAGTTTTTTCATAACTAGCTGAAAGCTCTTGGAAATTTAGTGTGTGCTTCAAGTTGGAAGCAGCTGCTAGTTTTTAAAGCAGAGAGCATGGAGAAAGAATTGGCCTGTGTTTTGCTTTCCATGCTTGATGAAGATGCTCAACAACTTGATCTGCTGTGGCTAAGTCTATCTTAATAGCAAATTCACTGAGTGGGATTTACAGAAGGAAACTCAGGAAGGAAAACTGCATTCAGTCACGTATAGGATCCATACACCCTAACAAAGCTCTCTGGAAGCACAGCAAAAACAATTAAGCAACTCATTTACAACACAAACGCAACAGATTATTCATCTTTCTTAACAGAAAGGCAAGACGGTCTGATACAAAACACAAAAAGCGTTTCCTTACACAAAGTAAGTAATGTCTCCTCATGGGAGAGGCACGACATAAGAATGATCTAACCAAAATAGCTTCATCCCTATTATCATCTTGGTTTAGCCTCTGTGACATAGAAGGTGCATTTCATTAAAGCTGCCACAATACCACATCTGTAGAGACTGCTTAACAAATGCTCCAGCCATCATGGGTTTTCAGAGCTTTAACACCAGAGGGAACCAATACGATTGCTCAAGTAAGTCCATTGCAGAGACAAGGTAGAAGCTTTATTAAAGTATCTTTTAAACATGCATTTGTGAAACACTTTAGCTACTCTTTGCTTCAAAATGCCTGAGATACTATGTTAAAAGTTTGATTTCCAATTACAGTGTTTATTATTATCTATAATACTGAAGATCATGAAGCCAGACCCATGTGTACATGGCCAGTGATCATCATTCAATCTTTTTCTTAATTAAAAAAAACCATAAGACCATCATTAAGTATTGGTTTAAGGTTTATTCTATCCTTGAAAAGTTTGGGCAGCTCTCCTGGAAATTCTCTCAAGGTTTCTTGTTTTGTCCTTAAAATACAAGTTCAGTGACCAGATAAGGTGTCCTATTGTTAATAACATGCATCGTGCAGGGATTAATCAGGAGAACAAGTCTTGCTCCGTGTCTACCATGATGGGGAACAAACACAGAGGGGGTAATGCAGCTATAAATCTGGATCTGCACCAGACCATTTCAGAGACAAGATCATCTCTACTCCTACTTTATATTCTTTTCCTTATAGATTACCAAGGATTACAGTGGAGCTTTTTCCTGCTTTTTCTTTTGCTACTGCTGAGTTTCTTTTGCTACCCTGAGTGGTGACTCAGGGCATAAAACAGGTAACAAAAAAGTTCAGATTCACCAATATTTAAAAAAAAATAGACACATAAAAAATGCAAACTGAAAGAGTTGTGGAACTGACAATTTCTTCTGGAGAATATTAGTTAATGATGACCTTTAAGATTCAGACTCTATTCCAAGAAGTAGACCAGTGCTGTAGCCTAACAGATTTGCACTTTACCAGTTTAGTTATTAAAAAAAAGTAAAAATAAATTTTTAAATAAAATTTTTATATTATTTAATATCACTAATCACATGTGTGTTGCAGAAAATCTACTTTATTGGTGAGATCTTAGTATTTTAGTATTTGCACAGATATGACACACACAGATGTCATTCTATATTCAGTGTGATATCTAATATAAAGACTGCAAAAACCACATATCACTTTTTAACATAATAACACTCATAATACTGTTGTAGTACCTAAAATTGCCTTTAATATAAGCAAAAATAGTTTGATATTGGATACTTGTAACTTTCCAAAGGCTCAGACAGCAAAGAAAAGCAATCAAGGCAAATAGCTGAAAAGTTTAGATACCAGATCTGTACCCTATACTGCAGATATTTATGTAAATGAACTTACGGGATCTAGACAAATTCAGTATGGACAAACAGCTCAGTATAAAACAATAGCTTACTGAAACAACCTAAGACATTCTTTAATAATCTTTGGCAAAAAATTATACTGTAATAAATCACGGCATTGTATACACACACAAGAAAGATCCATCACTGATGTCACTCAGGACAAGCTGTACGTACTTCCAAGAATGGGTGGGTCTATCTCTAACCTTTATACAGCAGTAAGTGTTTACTTCCTCAGTACAAAATAGTCTAAATATGTATTGTAATAATTGGACACAAGCCCAAATCAGATCCCTTCTCCCTTATGTCCTCTCTCTCACTGGAGTCTCTATTGGTCAGCCTTCGGTGCCTTCCTGAAACTCCAAGGCCAAAACAGCAATAGAGATAAAAAGAACAATAGCATTGAGGGAATACATCTGCTAAAAGCTGCCTTGCTTTTGGAAACGAGGAAACCAGTTAGCATGTGGAAAATCTGCTCCTGACATGAGTAAAACCAATCATAAAGTCAGTTCAAATTCAATAAACTTTAGAAAATAATAGTGTTTAAATTCGCAAAACACTGCTAGCAGTAGGGTTTTTTACTTATTTGATTGAGAGATCACCAAGGGTACGGAAGAATTATATCCACTACATTTCTCTGTCTGATGGTATTTGAACAAAAAGGTAGGTGTCCTCTTGCCATCATGTTGCAAAGCTGGGTCAAGAAACAGAGGCTCTTGAAATTCTCTGTTGACATAATACACCTTTTTGTTGGAGGTGTGGGTGTGGTGTGGTGTGAATTGTTGGGTTCTTGGGGGGGGGGGGGCTGGTTGGGTTTTGTGGGATTTAGGGGGTTTTTTTGGTTTGTTTGGTTCATCTTAAATCAGTAGCAAGTAGACACTGGAGGACTCAGGTATCTCTAGACAAGTGGCCTGTCACCTTTCTTCTACCTTGATGAGGTAGAACAGTCTTGCAAAGACCCATTTGTGATTGCTTTATAGCTCAACTCTAATGCTATCCCAAGACAACAGATTTCCATCTTCAAATCCTACCCCAAATCCTTCTTGCTGCAACAGTCTCATCTTGACATGAGAAGAATTAGCTTGCATTTGCTGCTGTATCCTGCCTAGTTCTTTATACTGAGCAGAAGACTGTCAGTAGGAGTCCGAGATGCTTCCTTATCCCTGCAGGGACTGGTGCACTCTCCTGTGATGTGGACTGAAATCCTCCCACATGCAGGAGATTGAATGCACACCTCCCTCAAACTGTGTGAGCACTCTTCCAGCTGTGCTGTGGGAAGAAATGATGAACGCCATCCACGTCACTGTTCTTTTTCTGGCTCCTGGGTCACCTGTGTCTGACAGGGCCACAAAGCCCTCAATAATAAAAATGTTGTTGAGACATTGATTTTCTTATTTTTATTTTTTAAGATTTTTATTGTGGTTGCCAAGAGAAAAAAATACATACATACAGTAGCAGCCCCAACAGTTAAAATGGACCAGCCATCTTTTCAGAAGTGAGATGCACTTAAAGAAGAAAGAATCATCATACATCTCTCCTATGAAAAGAATTACTAGGGAGCTGGGGATTAGCAACAGATGAAAGGCAGCAGTCCTGAGACAAGTGATACCACCAGGAGGATAGCACTAGCCCACAGTCTGAGAAAATACCAGAAACATGCCTGGGATCTGTCTTTTCAGAAAAAACAATTTGCATTTGGTAGTGGGATAGCCATAGCTGATACTAGCATGGAAGAAGAAACCTGGAGCTTGGAGAGAGACCACTGCACTTTATGGGGCAGTTCACATACGTACTTTGCTACAACTCAGTTGAGAACTAATAGTAATGTTTGTGCTGCTGAAATACTAGCTTTTAAGAACAGTGATTTAGGAGTAAAGTAATTCAGGATCCCTGCCTGCATCAGAGCCAGGTTCCACAAATGACTAGAAAGGTAACTCTCAGTGGTAACGCCCCAATCCCCCTTTTTCCAAGTCAAGCAGATCCCTGGCTGCATGGCCATGCTGTTCATGAAACCCATTCCAAGCCAAAGTCCAGAGCTTCAAAAGGGATAGCAGAATAACTGCCCGGTGAAATGAACATGGGGCACTGCTAAAAACCCTTCATGCCACATGACTTGGTGGGTTTACTCTCTGTCTTAAATGGTAAGTGGAGGGTTGGGTAAAAGGCAGCCAGTCATTCATAGAGAAGCATTCAGAGCACAACTGTGATCTGAAAACCCAGTCACAGAAGCAAGGATATGGATTACATTGGCATCATAATGATCAACATTTTCTCACTTAACCGTCTGCAAAAGCAGACAAAGGTCAGATTTGCAGGCCCTGCTAACAATGGCCCAGAGCACGAAAGGACCGGTGTGCCCCAATGCCACAAGCAAGAGTGTTGGAAAGGGATTTCACATCGGCAGGATCTGCTGAACTGGTGAGAATATCATGCTTAACAGCCTGTGCAAATTGGCCATTATATCCTCTGGTTGGAAAATACAAAGCAGACCTAGAAGGTTACTTCTTCCCCAAAGATTCCAGGTGGGATCCATTTGGGAGAAAAAAATCCATAGTGAATAGAGCATAGAGAGCATGAAGTCTACCCTTGTGCAGCCCATATCTCATGGCTGCTCAGATGAACCACCTCTTGTATTCTACTGACTGTGTCAATGG